ATTTCAGTAAATTTAAAAACAAACTCACGCTGTAAACAAAGTGTGTTTTTATGACACCTTGATGTTTTAATAGTTTTTTTTAAATTATATATTCAATTCTATATATTATTGTGGAGTGTTGTTTTTATTTTGAAAATACAGACCGGACGCAGAGAGGTGCACTCATCGTTTTCGTCTTGACAGGAACTCTGTGTCCATTAGCAGTTCAGTTCAGTCCCACCCTCTCACCGGCACCTGAACGCCTCACCGCCCTCTTCACGGTCGGGCCTGTTCTCTGGTTCTGCTGCTGTTCTACCGCCGCCCCCGGGACACGTGACCCGGGGTTCCGGAGCAGCGGGAGGTTTTTATCTTCCATGAAACACAAAATAAATGGATCGTGTTTTCTGAGGAGAGTCAGCTGATCCGATATCCTGCCTGCGGCCTCACACACACACACACACACACACACACACACACACACACACACACACACACACACACAGAGCTTCGGGTCGCTTCGGGTCGCTTCGGGTCCCTCGGGTCCCTGTCTCATGTTCGCCTCGAGCTCGGTTCGGTTCCGTGGTTCTGATGTGTGCTGGTTGTTTTCTTACCTGGGTGTTGTTCTGGGTCCGGAGCCGAGCAGCATCCTCCGCCTCCGCTCCATCCCTCCAGCATCAGCACCACACGCACACGCGCACACGCGCTCTTCATCTGCGGCTGCGTGTTAAAGCTGCAGCTGCACAGCGGCCCCTGCAGACCCGGAGGACCAATACACGACCCGGGTATTATCAGCAGTAAAAGTACACAAGTACTCTCAGCTTCATGTAGTTAAAGTATCAGCAGTAAAAGTACACAAGTACTCTCAGCTTCATGTCGTTAAAGTATCAGCAGTAAAAGTACACAAGTATTCTCAGCTTCATGTAGTTAAAGTATCAGCAGTAAAAGTACACAAGTATTCTCAGCTTCATGTAGTTAAAGTATCAGCAGTAAAAGTACACAAGTATTCTCAGCTTCATGTAGTTAAAGTATCAGCAGTAAAAGTACACAAGTACTCTCAGCTTCATGTCGTTAAAGTATCAGTAGTAAAAGTACACAAGTACTCTCAGCTTCATGTCGTTAAAGTATCAGTAGTAAAAGTACACAAGTACTCTCAGCTTCATGTCGTTAAAGTATCAGTAGTAAAAGTACACAAGTACTCTCAGCTTCATGTCGTTAAAGTATCAGCAGTAAAAGTACACAAGTATTCTCAGCTTCATGTAGTAAGAGTATCAGCAGTAAAAGTACACAAGTATTCTCAGCTTCATGTAGTTAAAGTATCAGCAGTAAAAGTACACAAGTATTCTCAGCTTCATGTCGTTAAAGTATCAGCCGTAAAAGTACACAAGTATTCTCAGCTTCATGTAGTTAAAGTATCAGCAGTAAAAGTACACAAGTATTCTCAGCTTCATGTAGTTAAAGTATCAGCAGTAAAAGTACACAAGTATTCTCAGCTTCATGTAGTTAAAGTATCAGCAGTAAAAGTACACAAGTATTCTCAGCTTCATGTCGTTAAAGTATCAGCAGTAAAAGTACACAAGTACTCTCAGCTTCATGTAGTTAAAGTATCAGCAGTAAAAGTACACAAGTACTCTCAGCTTCATGTAGTAAGAGTATCAGCAGTAAAAGTACACAAGTATTCTCAGCGTCATGTAGTTAAAGTATCAGCAGTAAAAGTACACAAGTATTCTCAGCTTCATGTCGTTAAAGTATCAGCAGTAAAAGTACACAAGTATTCTCAGCTTCATGTAGTAAGAGTATCAGCAGTAAAAGTACACAAGTATTTGTGTATTTTATTTTAACATGTACTTTTTAAAGGTAAAGGAACTAGTATCTCTGGCTATCTGATAAAGTAAAGGAAATACTACTTAGTACTGCACTTGTGTAAATGTACTCACTTCTCACATCACCCCGAGCTCCTGAACCAGGAGAGGAGCCCTGCTGGTCCAGCCTGGACTTAGTTCTGCTGCTGAGGAGCCGGTCTGGACCACATGGTTACAGAGACCTGGTCAAATCTGATGATTCGCCATGAAAAGGAAGTAGCATGTAAACAGACTAGAGATGGTCAGATCTGTCCTAAAATCACATGTCAGCCCCTGAGAGACTTACATGTCGATATCCCGTCCTAGTGATGGCACCAACTACTGGCATTTGGAAAGGACATGTTTCAAACTTTATCCGTTTTGGTACCTCACATACAGTGGATAGAAAAAGTCTCCACACCCCTGTTAAAATGGCAGGTTCTTATGATGTTAAATAATGAGACAAAGACAAATCATGTCAGAACTTTTTCCACCTTTAATGTGACCTATAATGTGAACAATTATATTGAAAAACAAATTGAAATCTCTGAGGGGGAAAAATTTTAAATTACAACCCTCAAATAACCTGGTTGCGTAAGTGTGCACACCCTTACACTTTGTTGAAGCACCTTTTGATTTTATTACAGCAGTCAGTCTTTTGGGTAGGAGTCTATCAGCACGGCACATCGTGACGTGGCCACATTTGCCCACTCTTCTTTGCAAAAGCGCTCCACATCTGTCATATTGCGAGGACATGGCCTGTGCACAGCCCTCTTCAGATGTTCAATCGGATTCAGGTCTGGGCTCTGGCTGGGACGTTCCAGAACATTAATCTTCTTCTGGTGAAGCCGTGCTTTTGTGGATTTGGATGTGTGCTTTGGGCAGTTGTCGTGCTGAAAGGTGAACTTCCTCTTCATCTTCATCTTTCTAACAGATGCCTGAAGGTTTTTTGCCAAAATTGCCTGGTATTTGGAACTGTTCATAATTCCCTCCACCCTGACGAAGGCCCCGGTTCCAGCTGAAGAAAACAGCCCCAAAGCGTGATGCAGCCACCACCATGCTTCACTGTGGGTTTGCGGTTCCTCGGGTGATGTGCAGTGTTGTTTTTGCGCCAAACATACCTTTTGGAATTATGGCCAAAAAGTTCTACCTTGGTTTCATCAGACCATAACACATTTTCCCACATGCTTTTGGGGGACTTCTGCAAACTTCAGCGGTGCTTGGATGTTTTTCTTTGTAAGAAAAGACTTCTGTCTTGCCCCCCTAACCCATAGCCCATCCATATGAGGAATACGGGAGATAGTTGTCACATGTACCACACAGCCAGTACTTGCCAGAAATTCCTGCAGGTCCTTTAATGTTGCTGTAGGCCTCTTGGAAGCCTCCCTGACAAGTTTTCTTCTCGTCTTTTCATCAATTTTGGAGGGACGTCCAGTTCTTGGTAAAGTCACAGTTGTGCCATATTGTCTTCACTGTGTTCCAGGTTATATCTAATGCTTTGGAAATTCTTTTGTACCCGTCTCCTGACTTATGTCTTTCAACAATGAGATCTCTCTGATGCTTTGAAAGCTCTCTGCGGACCGTGGCTTTTGCTCGGAGATGCAACTAAGAAAACATCAGGAAAATCCTCCTAGAACTGCTGAACTTTATTTGTGATTAATCAGAGTCACTTTAAATGATGGCAGGTGTGTAATGACTTCTAGTTAACCTGAGTTTGAATGCGATTGGTTAATTCTGAACACAGCCCCATGCCCATTTATAAGAGGGTGTGCACACTTATGCAACCAGGTTACTGTAAGGTTTTTATTTTTTATTTTTCCCTCTCGAAGATTTCAGTTTGTTTTTCCATTGAATTGTTCACATTATAGGTCACATTAAAGGTGGAAAAAGTTCTGACGTGATTTATCTTTGTCTCATTATTTTACATCATAAGAACCTGGCATTTTAACAGGGGTGTGGAGACTTTTTCTATCCTTAGGGTGGTGTTGTAGTCAAGACCGCCCAAACCGAGACCAAGACCGAGGAAGGACGAGACCGAGTGGAGACCAAGACCATCAAAAAGTGGTCTTGAGACCAATATATGCTATATATAAACACCCACATACAAACACTAAGAGCTTAAATCAATGTATGCATCGCCGGGAGCGGTGACCGTCTTTAACGGTAACAACACATTTTTAATGAGGGTTATTGGCCGTGTTTGAAGCAATAGATGTTAACAATTAAACCAGAAGACGCAAAAGCAATTTATTCATAATCCCAAAGAAATAAAATCTCGAGTCCTCAATGTCCGAGACCCAGACAAGACCGAGTACAAACACGGTAGAGTCCGAGACGAGACCAAGACCATCAAAAAGTGGTCTTAAGACCAATATATGCTTAACATAGCAGGTTGACCACATCCAGTTCTGCAGGACAGCCATAACGCTTTAATGATGTTACATTAGGACACTTCTTTTTAAATGCTGTAGCCTTGGTGAGTAATTTATCGCCGTTAAACAGGAAGCTGTTTTTTTTGAGAGCTGTACCTTAAAACACACTGATAATCAGCCACTTTGAATTGAACTAGTAACATCAACCACATGTTAGATATGTTCCACACATCACCAGTGTTAACTTCAAGTCCTGCCCTACAGACATCTACACGCCAAGCTTCTATTACGATGAGAACGCCACCTACTATTCAACGGCTGTGCTTAACTCCCTTGCGGAAATGACGCACGCAACAGCTGCGCGGGTGTTCGGGCCGCTCATCGCTGCTGCCGCTTTAATTACTATTATTTTTCAGTCAGACTTCTAATTTACTTACATTTCATCTGGTTAAGTTTCATTTAAATCTTGTTTTTGCTTTAATTTGATTGATTTTTTAATTGAATTTGATAAGAAAACCTCATGACTCCAAACATGTGGGAAGTATTTCAATGAATATTAATAAAATAAAAAAAAAGACTTAAGTCACAGTAAACAGAAGCCCTTTTTCTCGTGTCAGACATAAGCCAAAATTTAAACTGAAACACTTAAGCTGAGAATTGTCCTTATTTAACAACACAGTTTATTTGATTTTTAAAAAGATTCTAAAACATATGGGACTGGTTCCTAATGTCCGGCTGGTGGCCGTGAATCTTCTGTTCTATAAAAACAGACGTGCAGGTCAGAGATCAATAAAACATGAACAGAAACACATCAGTGTAAATATTCTTTATGTGAAAATACACATTCCCTTTGTGTTTCAGCTACAGGACAGAAATACAAAAATATAACGGTGGATAAACATCAGATTTAAACATACTGAGTATATTTATAACTCTGTAGAAATCATATATATTTGTACATAAACGTCTACGCAGAGCTGAACGTCGGGTTTGCAAAGTTCCCGTTGTTCTGAGCGTCAGGATCGTCGCTCTCAGCGAAGTCTTCGGGGTCGAGATCGGCCTCGAACATCCGCTGCAGCAGCGCGTCCACCGTCCGATACCCTGACAGGAAACAGAATCAGCAACACTGACGATCAATACTGTGATCGACAGGCCAGCTGAGGTCAAGAGCAGAGCACGTTTTATTCAAGTGACTGCACACGTTCTGAAATCCAGAAACACGTTTAAGTCATTTTACTTTTAAACCTAATATCAAGTTTCAACATGTGATTTTTACAAAACGATAAAAAATATTCCTTCATGTCAAACGTAACATGGACAACAGGGGGCGCCACCCGTGACAAAAAGCTGTCGTCGGTAGGTGCGTTTGACTTAACCTAGAATGGTTTTCATCCTACATGTCAAATAGGAAGTTTTGTGTGTCTGTAAACAACTCCTCATTCTGTCCAGTTAAATATGGTGTGCCTCAGGGGTCGGTCTTAGGACCCATTTTGTTTTCCTTGTATCTGCTTCCCCTTGGACATATTATCCATAAACATGGCATTTCTTTTCATATTTATGCTGATGACACACAAAATATACTTGTCCGTCAGATCCACAGACCCTGGAATGCTGAGTTTACTTAACAACTGCCTTTGTGAAGTTAAAAAATGGATGTCAAATAATTTCTCCAGCTGAACTCAGACAAAACAGAAATCCTGGTCATCGGGTCTCAGCAGATGGCAAATCAAATACTGCCATCTGCTGGTTCCCTAGTAAATCACATTAAGCCTGTGGCAAAGAACCTTGGTGTTTGGTTTGATAATAATTTAAATTTCGAGCAGCACACCACAAAGCTTGTTCAATCATGTTTTTATCAACTTAGAAATATAGCAACAATTCGATCTATGTTAACTTTTAAGGACACCGAGACCATTTTACACGCCTTCATCTCATCACGCCTGGATTATTGCAACAGCCTTTTCACCTGTTTAACCCAAAAATCTATTGATCGACTCCAGACTGTCCAGAACTCAGCTGCCAGGCTTTTAACCAGAACAAAGAAATATGACCACATTACTCCTATTTTAGCTTCATTACACTGGCTCCCAGTATGTTTTAGAATTGACTTTAAAATTCTATTGATCACTTTTAAAGCTCTTCGTGGCCTCTCGCCTTGTTATATTTCTGACCTTTTAGTCCCATACGCACCAGCACGTACCTTGAGATCCTCGGGCAGAGGTCTGTTGTCTGTTCCAGAGTCTCGACTGAAAACTAAAGAGGACAGAGCGTTTGCTGTCAGGGCCCCGAGGCTCTGGAACAGCCTGCCCGAGGAAATCAGGTCGGCTGAGTCAGTGAACTCTTTTAAGTCCCTTCTTAAAACATACTTTTATAGGAGAGCCTTTCCCGATCTTATTTGATTTTATTTTATCCCTTTTATTTTATTCTATTTTACTAATTTTATATTTATCTGTATTTTAGTCTTTTCAATGTTTTCATGCTTTTATCTTGGTTTTTGTATTATTCTTTACACTTGTTAAAGCACTTTGTAACTTGTTTTTGAAAAGTGCTCTACAAATAAGGATGATTATTATTATTATTATTATTATTATTATTATTATTATTATCGTGATGCATGCTGGTTAGAAATTGTGTCCGACTTTCGCCGGCGCTGCAAAACGTCACCATGTCACATGACATTAAACCCTCGCGGGAGCAAGGCGGCCGCAGTTGCTTTTCTGCGGCTGCACAAAGTTGGAACCACACTTTTGCTTCGTCTCGCTGCAATTTGCAGATGCTGCGAGTCGCCCAGAATCGATAAAATTGAAATAAAACCCAACTCTACACTACAATACTTTACTGTGAAAGATGAATCACTTCTAATGAACTTCAACACTCCAATCTGAGTAACTCATTTTGTTTTTTTACTTGTAATTTTTTGATCTGATCCAGTTCAATTTGAACGTTTTTCTTAAATAATGTGTTTTCACATTTTCTGGCATTTCAATTCAATTCAAATTAGCTTTATTGGCATGAATGTGTAACAACAATATTGCCAAAGCATCACACAAACTACATAAGAACAATTAGGTTAATTGTTCTTATGTAGTTTCTGTACATTTCATTAAACAAGTAATTAAAGCGTAAAGTAATCAAAGCGTGTGAAAAATAAAAATATATTAAAAATTAAAATAAAATAAATAAATAAAACATTTCAATAATGTTTCAATGTCAGATGTTCATGTTAAACATGACCAAAGCTTCAAATAATGAGGTAAAAGTATTAGTATAACACAACTGTGAGGCCAAAACCTCAGATATCCCCCTGCTTTGAATGCTCTGTTTTAAACTGTTACTACTAAATGACCATATATGGATCATTCCGAGACAGATTTCCATATACGGTCATTTGCTCCAGGCAGGGAATGCTGGCCACGCCCACAAAGGAACATGCAACCCTATGCTGCAACCTGGGGCGAGTTCAGCAAAACGTCCCCTGACTTGTGTACGCAAGCGCACTGCATTTTCCTGCCTTTTTAATGCCATTGTGTTTACGTGAAACGTTGTGCAACGTTGCAAAGAAACATGTCGTTCAATCCGAAAAAATGTTGCAAACCGGTGCAAAACATTTTGAGATTGAACTCGCCCCTGGTAAACACACAAGACAATGGCCAACCAGAAGACAGTGGGGGGGGGGTTTAAAGAGACAGGCGCATCTACAGCTCATTTCAGACAGAGGCTGAAATGAAGGCCTACATGAAGAGCCAGTATAAGAAAGAAAATTACTTTAAATTATGCAAAGCTGCCATACAGGTTAGAAATTGTGTCCGACTTTTGCCAGCGCAGCAAAACGTCACCGTCACGTGACATTAAACCCTTGCGGGAGCAAGCAGCGCTCACAGTAAACGTTAGCTTCTACTTTTAGTTATCCACTAAATCATCTGAGTGTTCTGCTGAAGGGAGACATCAAACAGGCTGATTTGGAAAAGTACTTTTAGTATTTTTGAAATATAATTACACAGTATTTATTTATTTTTATTCATGTCGTGGCTGCTGTAGTTTGTAGTTCATCTTGAAACAGTTAAAAATGACAGTATTTGGTATCTTATTTTAAAATATATTTTGATTTATCTCTGCCCATCCCCGAGTAGAACTATATTTATGAAACGGGTAGGAAACTTCTGACCTCCTGGGAGGCCTTAACGTGGAGGAGGGGCTTGAGAAGACTTCGCCAGAAAAAAAAAGACCCCTGTGAGACACGTGGAGCTAACTAAAGAGGAGGAGAACACTGAAGCAAACCAAGTGGGCAGAGAGATGCTTTGAAGAGTGGTGGAAGGATAAAGGTGTAGCAGTAGACTTTCCAACAACATCAAAGGACCGTTTCAATTACATTTTACAAGATGTCTATGCCACGGTCAGAAACAGGAAAGGCGAACTATATGAACTATGAACTGGTCTGTCCTGGTGCCTCCTCAGAGAAGGAGTTTACACTGGTGTTGAGAAAACACTGAGAAGACAAAGACTCGACACTACGGTCCATCACACATCAATGTCAGAAGATGACTTAAAAGCCATCAAGAAAGTACTGCATTCTGCGACGGCGGAGGGGCGAGTAAACAAAGTACGGTTTGACGTTCAGCTACACTTCGGACGCAGGGGGAAGGAGGGCAATCGGCAACTAAAACCCACATCGTTCATCATCAAAAGAGATGAAAACGGACTATAATATGATACTATATTATTGCTATATATTATATTACTATACTATTGCTTAAACATATTTAACGTTGTTAGATTAGAGACACCAGCAGCTCACTGACGAGGCTGCTGCAGATTTATTTATCAGCCGACCGGTCATCTCTAAATGCCAGATATCGTTTGCCTGATGAATCTCCTATCACAACGTTCACACAGAGACTTGTGCAGAAGTCTGCTTTTCTTCTCGTTGAGGTTTACGGTCGGAGCAGCTGGTGACGGCAGACGTCTGTTAAAACTGGACTGACTCTTGATGAAAACTAACGGTTTTTATTTGAAAGGCGCCTCCTCGAGCGTAGTTTGGACATGAAACGCTTCCGCGGGATGTTGGGACGCATTTAAAAAGTAAAATCAGAGTTTGCCAGATTTGGTGGCCGATCCGATTTCCTCTCCCGTATTACCGTAATAATCGGATGGCGTGTTTCCAACACGTAGAGCCGAACAACATGACACAAACCGTCCTTCTTGTCGAGTCTGAAGTGTTTCTTTTGTTTGTTTCTTACTTTTTGAAGCGATTTTAAACATCAGGGAGGGTCTGTTGTCCGCCGATTGGCCGGTTCCCTGGTCGTTGTCGATGGTTTCCATGGCGTTCACCAAGTTGTCCTCCATCTTCTCCCTGGTGGACAAAACAACACGGAGGATAATGAAACATGTTAAAGAGGCAATCAGAGAGTGTTTATCTTCTGTCCCGGACGTGGCGGTAACGTACTGCGCCACCGCCAGCTCCAGCTCTTCAATCTTCTTCTCCAGAGATGTCTGCAGGTCGCTCTTGTCCACCGAGTACTCCACGAAGAACGCCTCGAGGACGAACGCCACGAAGATACTGAAAGACAGCAGGAAGTGATCAGCACGACTACAACATGACTGAGAGAGCGCCGTGTACACGGAGGCTACGTGATGTCACAGGAAACAGTGTTTACTGAGAGGACAGCCGACGTCAGCCTTACTTGATGATGACGATGACGACGATGATGTGGAAGAGGACGAAGAAGATCCTGGCCGACACGTGGGTGACGGCGACGAAGCCGCTGCTGAGCAGTGAGACGCGGTAAGGAAGAAACACAAACCTGAATCTGAGCGAAGACGTTCAGCACAACAGAAACCAGAACTCACTGTTGGAAAGTAACCAAGTACATTCAAATACTGTACTTAAGTACAATGTTGAAGTACCACTACTTTAGGTTTTTTATTTTATGCTACTTTTATACTTTTTACTGCACTACATTTGATTTTTAAGACAAGTAATAAATGACGCTGCGGTAAGATCAAACCCAGCAGAACATAAAGTGATTAAAACGAGCTGCAACATTAAAGTGATGAACACATGAATAATTATAATCTCTAATAAAATAAATATTATCCCGAAATGAGCGTTTCAGCATACGGAGTACTTTTACTTTAAGTACTTTTTCCTCAAGTACATTTTTGAAAGCAGGACTTTTACATGTTAGAGTATTTCTACACTGTGGTATTACTACTTTTATGATCAGATACACGGCCGCCCGAGTATATTTGGTGACCCATTCAAGTATTTTGCAGAGAAACACTGATAGAGATGCTATCTATTATAAAAGACGCAGACACGGTGGATTTCTTACAAGCACGGACCAGGGAAAGCAACAGTGAACAGGTGTACCTGGGTACAACGCTGGTTTCGGTTTCGATAGGCTTCCTCATTAACAAGCCTCCTCCCTGCGTCTTTATAAAACGCAGCTCACAGCTGATGGAGAAAGTCAACAGGGCCGACAAACAGAAAGAAAGCAGTGGGGCAGGCAATGGTGTGAGAATATTAGAACTGAAGGCAAAGAGAGCAGATTCAAGAAGGCTAGTGAGTAAATTCTAAAATAAAATGTGGAGTTAAGGTAAGAAATAACCTAAAATATACTGTCGTTCTGTGGGAAACCCAGAATGTATATAAATCAATTACTTTTACAGGACAACGGTGCATAAGATGAGGTTTTATCACTTGCACAATTTCCTATGGTTATAATATTAATAGCCTATGTCTAATAATAATAATAATAATAATAATAATGCTTTTGGCCCAGTTGGCAGCAGCCGGTCTGGTCCTGAGCTGACAAACTCGATTAGGCTACTTAAATTCTGTCAAATGCCCACTGCTTATATTATTTCACCATCAGTGCACAAATGTAGCCCAAGTAGTGAATGCGTGTTCGTGAGTTGAGATGCGTGCTGATGCGGGCAGTGCCAGGGCTGAATGTTTGTCCGAGTCCGCCCCTGGCTAACGCTAACAGCATCAACGTGTCAGGTACAAAACACAGGTGAGCTGACGTTCACCTTCTATACTGAAGGGAAATCAACGATGGCTACAGATGAGACGAGTCCCCAGAGACGCCCCCTCTAGGACAGAGACTCCTTTCCCTTTAACCATGAAGGGGAAGAGGAGGAAGGAGATCTGTGGTGAAGGGGCTGGAACCGGAACTGAGATTCCAGATAAAACTGAAACGATACCAAACCCTGCACCACAAGATAAATCGCTTTGAGCAACTCTTTGTTTTTTACTTGCAATTCTTTGATCTGATCCAGTGACCCAAGGTCAATCTGAATGGTTTTGAACATAGTTTTTCTTAAATACTTTTTGTTAATACTAGAATCTTGAATTTTCTCTTCAAATTGTACTTACTGGAGGAAAAACAGGGGAAATACTCAGCTCAGCGCTTCAGCAGCACAGCTAGCTCGACTCACTACACAACCACAGTGATGCACCTGCTCTAAAATAAAGTGGAAGCTCTTAGAGGATCCACTCGTTCAGATCGCAGTTTTTGGAACAGTGATCAGCAGATAGGGTTTCGATCTGGTAAAATGTTGTCCCTCCGTGTGTGAGGCGTTCAAGTAAAAGGATATCGTGCCACTGGTTGACCACCGTGAGCTCCACCAGCAGGATGAAGGAGGACACCACGTTGTTGAAGTTGTTCTTGCAGTAGCTGAGTTGTGCGAAGGCCGTTCCTTTCAGCAGAGGGTTTCCACAGTACTCCTTCCCCGGGTCCGTGGAGCCCTCCTCGTAGAACTTCAACTTCCCTTTGAACAGCTCCATCCCCACCATGGCAAAGACGTAGTACACCACCTGAGGAGCAGCCAGCTTCACTACCAGGATGCTAACTTATTAGCCGCGTTAGCTGCAGCAGGTTATTACATCACAGCTCTGAAAACAGGGACGCCTGACAGTATGTTTGAACTTACAATGATCAGCTGTCCAAATGTGAGGATCGCCGGTCCAATCCTGATCAGGGTGTTGATGATGGCACGAAACCTGACAGGGAACGAGTCCTCAGCGTTAGAAATACAAACCAATCAACACGTACAAGTAATGACACGTGAGTCATTTCCTTCATCTCATCAATCCCAGGTGTCCAAACGTTGCTATGCTTTCCTGCAGGTTAACATATGAACCAAACTACAACCACGTTTACACCTGCTGCCAATCAGAAACAAGTATTTTTCAGTCCCTCCAGGATTTTGTGACGTGGCGATCGACACAAATTCAACAAATCCCGTGAATTCAGCACGACTTGCAACTTTGACCTCTCATCGCCGTCGGCAAACTCACTTCCTTGTTTAGAAGGAGCAGCAGACATGCAGATTTCACAATTTCATTGCAAAAAAATATTGCTACTTTCATTGCATTATTTTAGAAAAGCTGCCACAAAATCCGGCATTTCAGGCTGCAACAATCTGAAGCTGAAACCTTTTGATGCTGTCCACCACCCGGACCAGCCTGAGGACCCGCAGGATGAAGACGATGTCCAGGATCTGACGGCTGGTGTAACCGTCCGCTGCAACCGGAAGGAAAGGATTATTCAGAAAAAGGATTTATTGTCCCAGGAGGCTCAAATCAAACAGACAGGTGGTCACATACACAGATAAACATGTAAACCTCCCCATGAGGGCTCATTTCACAATCTGGGTCGACTTATGTTGTTATACATGACATTTTTCTCAGGATGCAACACATTTTTTAATATTATAAGTTAGTGGGGTGATAAAATATAAAGAACTTGCATTTAATCAGGTCATTTCACTAAGATCAAGATCTCTTTTTCGAGAGTCCTGAGAACAGCAGATAGAGAGAAAAACAGATATCTGTACATAGTAAAGTTTAAAATCAGCCGATGAGACATTCAAGCTTTATTTATTTTTACAATTTATAAAAAAGGTGTTAAGTGGTAACAAGGCAGTTTGTCTACATATATTTGGTATTTAGGGGTAAAGAGAGTTAACAGACATGTTTTCTGAAGCAGGAGATTTTTATAAATAAAGACGACCAGTGTAGGGCAAGTTACTTCCAAAATCTAATACAATATAGATTACTGTTATTTGAATTAGTTACAGTATTACTGTCTCTGAATTGCAATGCTTTACACTACTTTTGAGGTGCTATCATTTTTTTCAGACAGTAGGATGTGCCTGCATTGGTGGGTTCGAGTAATTTTGAGTTAGAATGTGTTGTAACATGGGTTACTGAGATTGTAACAAGTATAATGTTACTGACATTTTATTAGTAATGCGTGATACTACTGCGTTACAGCAAAAAGCAAAACATTACTCTAATTGCATGACTTGTAACATGTTACTCCCAAAACTGGATACGACGATATTTATCTCCTGTAATGAGGCCCAATAATAAACTGCACATCAAGTTGGTTAAGGTCGAACAGCATGAGAATAAATGAGATCTCGGTAGAGAAGCAAAAAATTATGGTTGACTGTTGTCCAGTCATCTTTCTCCAAAAACATGAGAAACCAGGTTAATCTTTAGTGTCTGTGCCAGTCTGACCTCACGCCGTTTAAACGCCCTGCTGTTAAGTTTCTGTGTAAGACTGGGCAGTTTCATTGTCAGTATGTTCATGTAGTACATGGTTAGTCTCATCAGCAGTCAGTACGAGATTCAGCAGAGATGTCTGAAGGACGTTAAAGCAGATATGAGAGGAGCCAGATGCAGACAAGACTGTGTCATCTGCATAAAAGCGGATATTATGTGCGGTTACTATACATCATATTATTATTATTTGTATGTGTTTGTACGTTAGAAGTAGAATGGGAGCCAGAGCCTTTAGCTATCAGACCCCTGTTTGGGTTCGGGAAGCATCCAACATCTCCGTATTTAAAAGGAGGCTTAAAACTTTTCTGTTTAATAGAGCTTATAGATAGGCCTAGGGTATTTTATGATTTCTTATAAAAGTTATAATTATTTATTATCTTGTTTCACCATCATGCATCTTATTGTACTTTGTTGTATTTTTGTGTATATCTTATGTGTTTTTATATCTCATTTTGCTCATTTTTATGTGTCTGTACTTTATAATTGTACTGGCACCATGTCGTTGGTAATTTTACACTTTAAATAAACCTGACTTGCCTTGACTTGTGTGGGAGTGATAACTTTGTTAATGAAGAGTATAAATAGTAAAGGACCTAGTACTTATTTATCCCAAGAGAGGCTGTTTGAGACCCAGACAGGGCAGTCAGATGCAGGTAGACGTTTAAGAAAGACCAACAAAACCAGTGGATGTGTCATTTAGTATCAATTATCATTTTAATGAATCTCTTGTTAATTTGTTAGTCAACAAAATATCAAAAGGGTGAAAATGTCCCACGAATTCCACATCGAGTGTCAGCGTCACAGGAGGGATTATAAAAAATGAATGAAGCTCATTTATTTCTGTTCTTAAAAAGTCATCTTTCATAGCCACCCACTGCTATGGTGCTGTTGTAGGCTTTTTTTGCATTGTGCTAAACTCTCAGATGTCTTACTGTAAACCGAGGTTTTTGTCAGTCCCTCCGGGTATAAATATGCATGGTTAGGGGTAGATTTAGGCCTGTCAAATCCTGGAGGGATTGTTTAATGATTAAACGTTTAAAAAACATCACATCTACCTTTGCACTTTTCACTTATTCCAACTATTTAAATCACAAAAAACGCCCAAGAACATCGTAAATTTCATCGCAATTTTATAGAAAAGATTCCAAAAAATTTGGCATTTTAGGCCGCAACAAACAAAATGTACAAAATATAAAATCTTGAGACTGTTTTGCATTTTAATTACGTCTTCCACCTGCAAAAACCTCCAGTCTAATTATAGAGCCAACCCAAAGTGTATTAAGTTACAGAGAGACGTTAGAGAATGGATGGTGGTTTTGTTTGATTAATGCCTTCAATTATTAATTGATTATTAAATTACCCTACCGTCAATAAATAAATCCACTATTTGTTTCCAGCATTACAAAGTGTGATGACCTGTTTTCTAAGCTGCATGCTAAAGCTCAACTGTCACTAAGTTCAAATAAATCAAAACAGCACATACGTGACTCTACGGCGGAGTTGACGATCGTGGCGATGAGAGCGGAGATGACGATGATGGTGTCAAACCTGAAACCAGAAAAATAAACAATCAGAAAACAAACATTTCAAGTTGAACATGAATACTTTTCTTCCACAGCGATGATGCTGAAAGCAGAACCAGCATTAGCGGGAAACGCAGCCGGTCGTCTTTCACCTTGTGTGCGTTCACATAACACAAATATAAAGTAGCATACGGCGCCGCCGCTCAAGCATTTCCCCATGGACCTCCACGATAAAAGAGAATTATTATTCATCTGATTTTGTTTAATCTTTTTCTTTACTAAGTTTATATTCTCCTGGCAAGTTCTCCAGTTCTCCATTTATGTACCTATAATGAATGTTTGTGTTTTAGAAGCAATAAAGTAAAAAAAAACAACAACAAAAAAAAAAACACTACTGAGCATGTGCAGTTAAAACCTCACAGTATCACAGAAGCTAGAAAACTGTTTTGGCTCAGAGAGCCATTTCCATTCAAATGAGAAGGAGCCGCCATCTTTGAGACTAGTCCTTTAAAAACATCCATGAAACCCACAAACACGTCTGACCACCACCGCAGCTGCACAGCTCGCCAGCAGGGGGCGCACAGCTGGAAAAACTGCAAAAGTACAGCGTCAACAGGTGCAGCAAAAGAGTTTAAGTTGGCCGTAACGCGATCAGTGGCCACTTTATTAGGTACACCTGAGCAATCTGTTCTGAAGCCTGTAGAGTTCAGTTTGTGTTGTAGCACTGAGCTCAGTCAGTGATGGTGTCGTCCTGAACCGTTTAACTTTCTGAACTCCTCGTGTTTGGTAACACAAAAGGACATCAAAATAGTAACACCTCTCAGCATGATGTAGTCCAGGACAAACACCACCTTAAAGACAAATGTTATGCCAGCAGGGTTAATTGGACAGGTGTACCTAATAAAGAGGCTCCTGAAAGTAAAAGCTTTCAAAGTGAAATCAAAACAGCAGAACCCCAGAGAACGTGTGAAGTCACAGCTTTTTCTTTTTTTTGTTGTTTAATTTGTACAGTTTCTCTTTTAATTTTCTGCACAAGATTTTTTTTATTTTTACTTTCAGACTTTTTGGCCCTAAAGTAACTCCACAGTTCAGAAGTTGTTTTATTCCCTAAAAAAGGTGAATAAATATGGTCTCGTCATTGATTTATTGTGGGGCGGGAACAATAAATCAATGACAAGACCATATTTATAAAGACTTTGCCTTATTGTGGGAGAATGTTGTATTTTGCTTTTATAGAAGTCAAAGTAAAGAAAAGATGTACTTCATTATAAATTTATTAATTCTGTTGGCAAAACATTTATAAACATAAATTCAGCACAAAAAAAAAAAAATAATCAGTACTTTTTCTCCATGAAGTTGTACATTATATTAATCGGATTTCTGGCTCCAACAACAAAAAGGTTAAGTTAAGGTTAAGGGAAAGTTAGAACTGTCAACATGTGGTCCTCTTTCTCTTTGTAATGGCCTATAAGCTTCCCCTGGCTAAACTGTATTGTATTCTGTCTACGTGTTATATGTTTGTATATTGTTATGTATATTTTGGTAAGTCACTTGTGTTTTGTATCCTATTTTTGCAATAAAGAAGACTTGAAAAAAATAAAAAACTAAAAATCAATAACAAGTGTCAGCGAGCGGGTCCAAGCGCTTACAGGCCGGGACTGAAGATAAAAGCAACAGCAGGTAATGGAACTGAAACATGTGGCACGTACCTTGTACTTATAATCTGGGACGCAGATAAGCTGTTTGAGACGGACGTGACAGCTCATAGGGTTACATTTGTTGATGTTTCATTATAAATGTTATCAGAAAGAGTTTCAAACACAAACACTTTCAAACCAGTACTGAAATAGAAACTGTTATTTTGTACAAAGTTAAACACATTTTCTTCAACACTTACGTCGACCCAAGATCTTGCAAATCATAAAAAAACAAAAACAAAAGTGTAAATAGTTGAATAAAAACGTCCCAAAGTGTTCGATTAATTTAGCAACGTTAACGATAAGTTTTCTAGGATGTAGGGATGTCACGATAGCAGATATCTAGTATACCGATACCAGAGAAATTCCACGATTTTTGATACCACGGTAAAAAACAAAAACCTAAACAATAAATCTAAATGTTTAATAAAACATTTAAACTTCACAAAGACCAACTAACAGCTGTGAGAGGATGTCCAGGACAGATGAGCGGTGGTTTAATGTCAACATATTTATAAATGAGCAAGTACAACCTCGCAATGTGCTTAATACATTTTTGTTTTCAAACTCACAGGTGCGAGATCTCTATGTTGGAAAACAAATTATTATTATTGGTGTTGATGACTTAAATGGCTCGTATTGCCCGACTCCTCCCACACTAACAGGTGCGTTGGACAGACTTTCAGCTCTTAGCGCTGCAAACTGCATCACCGTTGATCCAAACTTTGAGACGTCTGCCTAAATTAGCTCTCCAACATCCCAGAACTGGCTTTGACACGGAGCTGTTGAAGGCAACGCTGAATAGAAAGACCTAGCAAAACGAGCACCATCATATTTTCAGGGTTCTGGCAACGACTTGGTATCGAACTGTCGGCTTTCGTGACATCCCTGCTTTCAACTTTTCCACAGATCAACTCGAGCATCATGTGATATCTGAGACCAATCAGACGCTCGGGCTCCTCTCCAATTCGTCATCCTCATAAACAGCCACCTGTGGACAAACGTTACCCAGAATCCATTGGTTATTTGGGACAAACGCTGTAAATCCGACGGTAAACGCCGGCTCGTCCTCACCAGTTCCAGAAGCTGTGTCTGGAGAAGAACGCCCGGGGCTCGAACACGTAGAGCTTCAGCAGGATCTCCAGCAGGTACAGAGCCAGAAACACCCACTCCGAGTTAGCGATCATCGGATTCCTCTCGTCCAGACCGATGAACACGGCGTTCACCAGGATGATCACGTCGTACACAATTACAAAGGCCCTGAAACACACACACAGCAGAGCACAGCTGATGAGTTTCTGCAGGTCAAGGTTCATCCTCACCAAACTCTTTAAATCAAGACTTCTTTTTACCGCTGCTTTTATTAAATCATATTTAAGACTTTACTTTGATATTTTGCACTTCACTGTAACTTTTACTGTCCTGTTTTGGGGGTAAAATGCTCCTCAAATTTCTAAAATCAGATATTCCTTGCTTTTGAACTATGTTTTATATAAAACAGTGTGTAGCTTAAATGTTCCATACAAATAAACCTGCCTTTCCTTAAACATCCTGATGCTAACAGTAGCTGCTTATTGTAATGTTTGTCAGTCAGTTCGGACTCCAGGACTAGTCAGGTTTTGGTCTGAAACTGCTGAAACGTTTCACCTTGTCAGTCTGAGAGATGGTTCAGGTCTCATCAGGTCAGTGTTTAATAATGGTTTCATACAACTATTAAGAAAGCATGTTTGTAAAGACCAGCTCACATTTTACTGTCTTAGCAACTATTTCACGTCTTCTTGTTGTGTAACTGAAGAAACTCTTCAAACTGTTTTTGATATTTTGTACATGTAGAGAATGACGTGTCATTTTTTCCTCCCACCCAATGTTCGACATTTCTCACTTGACAGACACCAGGGCCGTGCAGCGCCGGCAAAACATTTATTTCAACGTAAACAGTCTCGCCTTGAACACACCGTTATGTACGCAAGCGCACTGATTGTTCCTGCCATTTTAACACCGCTGTGTTTACAAACTGGTCGCATCTTATTGGGTAACACCTCTGGCACGCCCACCAAACGGGAGCAAACATACCTCGAAGCCCGTTGCAGAATGTTTCAAGGAAATCTGTCGTTCAATCACCGCAAACCAGTACAAAATGTTTTGAGATTGAACTTGCCCCAGATTTGAGTCAAGTCCTGCACCATACTCTGCCTCTGAGAGGCTAACCCTAACCAATGAGTAGCCAATCAATTCAATTTTATTTATATAGCGCCAAATCACAACAACAGTTATCTCACAGCGCTTTTCATAAAAGAGCAGGTCTAGACCGTACTCTGTGATGCTATTTACAGAAGCCCAACAGTTCCCACCAAGAGCAAGATCAGAGGCAGAGTTGTCGGAATCTGGTGCAGAAAAAAAACACAATAGGTGCGTTTAACTTATAAGGCATGCTGGTTAGAAATTGTGTCCAACCAGCTGATGCGACATCGGTGTAACTAAGACTGGCTGGTCACACCAGCCCAGGACCTCCACATCCAGCATCTTCACCTCCAAGATCATCTGAGACCAGCCACCCGGACAGCTGCTGCAACAATCGTTTGCATAACGAAGAATTTCTGCACAAACTGTCAGGAACCGTCTCAGGGAAGCTCATCTGCACGCTCGTCGTCCTCATCGGGGTCTCGACCTGACTGCAACTTTGCACAGCCATTGAAGAGGAGTGGACCAACACTCCACAGGCTACAATCAACAACCCGATCACCTCTATGTGAAGGAGATGTGTTGCACTGCGTGAGGCAAATGGTGGTCACACCAGATACTGACTGGTTTCTGGACCCCCCCAATACAGTGAAACTGCACATTTTGGAGTGGCCTTTTATTGTGGCCAGCCTTAGGCACGCCTGTGCAATACTTTTTCCCCACCCCAATATACAAAATATACTATGGATTATGACGGCAAAGGAGAAGTGCTCACTAACACAGATTTTGACAGATTTGTGAACAATATTTGAGAGAAATAGGCCTTTTGTGTCCATAGAGAAAGTCTAAGATCTTTGAGGTCAGCTCATGATGAACGGGGGCAAAAACAAAAGTGTTGCCTTTATAATTTTGTTCAGTGTAGTTAGGTGAATTGTCTCCTGCCACCTGAATTTTGTGTTTTTCTTTACATAAAAAAAACAAACTGGTGCAGCAATTTCATCAGAATGCAGGAAATAATGAGTTTAATGCACAAAATTTCATATAATTCAGCATTAAAGATTTCTTAAAAATGGTGTTAAAATCTCGTCTCGTGGGTTAAGTGTCTCGTCACACCCGACAACACATTCTACCATACGGACAATGGTTTGCACAACTATACATTTAAAATCTACTCTGGAACAGACAAACTGAGCATGCCATTGTTTCGGTCTCACCTGTGTTGGACCATTCGGCAGAGGAGGCGGCTGGGGGCCGACGTGTAGAGGGCGGGGCACACACTGTGGAGCGGGTGTGGTCTTGACTTGAGTGTGATGACTTCGATGTTCATGAGGTCGGCGAGCTGGACGAAAGCCACCTTACCTGTCAATCACCCAACCAACAGGCAGATTTAAAACATCAGATTAAACAGACTTTGGATGTGATCGTAGCTTCTGTGGAAAACACTGGGCAGCATGTTCGTCTCCTAAACCCACGCTCAACTTTTGGGCTACAGACCAAGCAGGAACCTCCGGGTCTGAAAAGTGAAGTCAGTGCCATCTTCTCTAACAGCCAGCAGGGGGCAACTCCAGCGGCTGCAGAAAGAAGTCTGTGAGAAAATGTTTCTACTTGTCAGCTGATTTATTCCCTCAGTAAACTCTTTCCTGATGAGTTTCTGGTCTCAGTCTCTAGTTTCAAGTCTTCTTCAACACAGCATGATGTTCATTTAGTAAATTATGGTCCCATTTAGAGGAACAGAGACCAGGAAGCAGGGGAGGCTTTAGGGCGGGGCTACAAGCTGATTGACAAGTCGCTACTATGGCAACCGTGGGTGCTCATTTTTCAGGTAAGTACGTTTTGTTTTACGTTTGTTGCTGCCTGGTTACAAAAATCATGTTGGCCAAAAATGCCAAACTGGAGGCTTCCTGCTTCTCTTCACTCGATGGCGTTGGAGCAAAAAAAGCTCAACATAACGTTCAAACAGAGAAATGAAGCAGTAAAAGCCGTGTCACGACTCTTCATATTTAGTGTTTCAACAATATGATGTTGCAAAGAAAAAGCAGCATCCACAGTGAGTTTTTAATGGTGTGTTCAGGTGCTTCTTTTCACCTGGTAAAGTCTGCGACTTCAGAGTTTATCAGCAGGAAGTTCCTCTCAAACAGCTGAAACCCGAGTGATAAACAGGGACCAGTTCCATTCTGTTATTATTGTTTGTTTTAATTTAATTTCAGGAAGACGCAAATTGATCAACTGTTAATGTGCCAACAGGCAGATTATCAGCCGGTATCAGGGTCTCGTTTCCCCCGGGGGGCGACGGAGGGAACATGTCTCCCGCACTTTCATCGTTTGTGTCAAACTCCCTGTAAATGAGACGAGGAGCTGATCGTCATGTTGATACGCTCATCTTGTTTGCAATCAGTTAGCGAGTGCCCACAGTAATTAGGCTTTACGGAGGGTTTGTTTGGCCCTGGGTTTTGCCTGCAGACACAACTCAGGGTTGAAAACATTTTAATCCATGTTTTTATTTCTTCTTCTTCGACAGAAAATACAAAATCATTTACAGATCCAGAGTCTTCTGACTTATGTTATATTGTTAGAATAGTGATGCATTAATATGAAGGCATTTAAATTGTATTTTTATGTCTCGTTATTTATTATTCAAGGCCGCAGCTTTTCATTAAGTCAGATTCGTTTCCAGCTGCTGACGTCAGCGGTCGGTAGATTTGGGGTCAGGGGTTAAACCCGTGGCGCTCTGAGTTAAGCTTCTGTTGGTTGGTGAATCTGTGTCCGCTGGGAAAACGTGAGGCTTCAGAGACCTGGGAGTCGATTTGTGCGCACAAGAGTTTTCACTTATTGCGTCTCAGGTCGTCACCACTGATTTGTTCTACTGTCTAAAGCTCGTCTTTCTTTTCTATTCTGTTGGCTCTTTAATGAATTGTATTAAAATGTCCTTTTGTGGAGAGTTTCTGCTGCTGAAACGTGCTGAATAAATGAACCACCGCAGCTTTAACCTACGCACCTCTTTTAAACCAGCTGATGATCTGTAGGTTCTACGATAACAACCTGCAGAACAAACCGTGTGTTCAACTCTGTCTTTATGTGATATCAGAGTTTGTCCCTCTGTGAGGAAGATACAGTGCCTTGCGAAAGTATTCGGCCCCCTTGAACTTTTCAACCTTTTGCCACATTGCAGGCTTCAAACATAAAGATATAAAACTCTAATTTTTTGTGAAGAACCAACAAGTGGGACACAATCATGAAGTGGAACGAAATTTATTTTAAACCTTTTTAACAAATAAAAAACTGAAAAATTGGGCCTGCAAAATTATTCAGCCCCTTTACTTTCAGTGCAGCAAACTCTCTCCAGAAGTTCAGTGAGGATCTCTGAATGATCCAATGTTGACCTAAATGACTAATGATGATAAATAGAATCCACCTGTGTGAAATCAAGTCTCCGTATAAATGCACCTGCTCTGTGATCGTCTCAGAGGTCCGTTTAAAGCGCAGAGAGCATCATGAAGAACAAGGAACACACCAGGCAGGAAGTTTAAAGCCGGATTTGGATACAAAAAGATTTCCCAAGCTTTAAACATCCCAAGGAGCACTGTGCAATATTGTGATAATATTGAAATGGAAGGAGTATCAGACCACTGCAAATCTACGAAGACCCGGCCGTCCCTCTAAACTTTCAGCTCATACAAGGAGAAGACTGATCAGAGATGCAGCCAAGATATATACTGCACAAATCTGGCCTTTATGGAAGAAGAAAGCCATTTCTTAAAGGTATCCATAAAAAGTCTTGTTTAAAGTTTGCCACAAGCCACCTGGGAGACACACCAAACATGTGGAAGAAGGTGCTCTGGTCAGATGAAACCAAAATCAAACTTTTTGGCAACAATGCAAAACGTTATGTTTGGCGTAAAAGCAACACAGCTCATCACCCTGAACGCACCATCCCCACTGTCAAACATGGTGGTGGCAGCATCATGGTTTCTTCAGCAGGGACAGGGAAGATGGTTAAAATTGATGGGAAGATGGATGGAGCCAAATACAGGACCATTCTGGAAGAAAACCTGATGGAGTCTGCAAAAGACCTGAGACTGGGACGGAGATTTGTCTTCCAACAAGACAATGATCCAAAACATAAAGCAAAATCTACACTGGAATGGTTCCCAAATAAACATCTCCAGGTGTTAGAACGGCCAAGTCAAAGTCCAGACCTGAATCCAATCCAGAATCTGTGGAAAGAACTGAAAACTGCTGTTCACAAACGCTCTCCATCCAACCTCACTGAGCTCGAGCTGATTTGCAAGGAGGAATGGGCAAAAATTTCAGTCTCTCGATGTGCAAAACTGATAGAGACGTACGCCAAGCGACTTACAGCTGTAATCGCAGCAAAAGGTGGCGCTACAAAGTATTAACTTAAGGGGGCTGAATAATTTTGCACGCCTAATTTTTCCGTTTTTTTATTTGTTAAAAAAGTTTGAAATATCCAATAAATTTCGTTCCACTTCATGATTGTGTCCCACTTGTTGTTGGTTCTTCACAAAAAATTAGAGTTTTATATCTTTATGTTTGAAGCCTGAAATACATTCGCAAGGCACCGTATGTGTGAAGACAGTGACAATGCAGAAGATTGAGGGCTGCTGTGACGGAGCAGAAGCTGAGCGTCTGGACAAAGCCAGACTCAGTTTAAACGCCCGCCGGCCGTTGTTCAAAAAGAAAAAGGAAGCGGTAAATAAATGCATGGACCCTTAACGTTAAATTGGTTTTCACAGATTTTCAAAGAGTCACTTCCTTCTTCTTTTCTGTGGACAGCTTCTTCCTCGCTCTGACTGCAGATACATGAAGGAGGTTTGATGGATTCATGAAACAAAGTTACTTAAAAAAAAAGGCACAATGGGTTTATGGTTATTTAACAATAAATGTGCTAAATGAATTTGCTTTGATGCACTAACAACTGCAATCCTTCTGTTTCTGCATGTTTATCACAAAGAGCTCTGTGCTCTGGTATCTAATTAATTATAATTCCTCTTTTAGCTGACGCTTTTATCCAACGAGGGGTCAAGTGTCCTGCTCAGGGACACACTGGTGGAAGCCAATCAGTGATGGAACACTGTCAGGTACAAAACAGGCAGCAGAGTTTCTTCTCTAATGGCATTAAATCTGCTGTCACTGACGGCCAATGGGACTCTGCGTGCGACCCACCGATGCAGCCCTGGTTCTGGTCGTCGGAGACGCTCCACAGCAGCTCTCTCTGGGCGTTGCTCATGCTGGGCTGGACCAGTCGGACCACTTGGTTCCAGTTCGCCTGGGTCACCACCGGCTCCCCGCCCTCCTCCCGCTTCTCCTGCAGGACGGCGAACGCTCGAACCATCTTGTGCCTTTTGGCCCTCACCAGCTGCCGTACCTCCTCCTGGAGGACAGAGAGAGAGACTTCATCATCACAGAGATCTAGAAGATGAAACATCTCCAGGTTTCTCTGAGCTGGAAGCGGTTTGTGTCGATGTTCACGTCATGTTCGTGACCAAGAGAAGAAAAATAAAGAGATGGGGGTTAGGGTGAGAATCTACAGTGTTGCACTACTATCCTGCTGTTCAGTGATGGGGTTCAATCCCCGGCTCCTCCAGGCTGCGTGTCGAAGTGTCCTTGGGAAAGATACTGAACCCGAATTGCCCCTGGCAGCTGTTGCCAGTGTATGAATGTGTGTGAGTGGTGAATGCAGATGTGGTGTAAAAAGCGCTGTGAGCGGTCGAAAAGACGAGAAAGGCGCTATACAAGTACGGAGCATTTACATTTTATTTGACAGCAACTTCTGAACGCAGCACGGAAGCTACACACTGCGTCATGCTCGGTGTTCGGGTCAGGCTCAGTGACTCCTCCCTCTGATCCGGGTCGGTTTCAGACAGAAATATGCAGCCTGCGCAGGGCTCTAATATTTATATCTTCAAGTCTAACGGATTTTGAGAGATTTTTTTATATTTGCTAATTGACCCTTCACTAAGCCACACCCTGAATACGCAGCTGGCCAATCACAGCGCAGTATAGGACTCGCTCTAACTGACGTCCGACACTTTCATGGCTGCGCTGCAGTGACTAATGCAGAAAGAGTCGTTTTCTAGCTTTTCTGGCTGTATTTTTCTCAGATCTGGTCAAACTGTTCCTGCAGCAACTTGTAACAGTTACAGCAGAGAGGCTGAAAGGAGAAGGACGATTTATTCTCTTTCCAAAACCTAAAACAAATCCAGAAACATGTGGACACGGCTGTGGATTGTTCCTAATGTGATGTTAGCTAACGCTAGCTAACTTCCTGCTGAATGTAAAGTAAGTTAGCTTTAGCTTCTATCTTTCATATTTTTCAGGTCAGTCTGAGCCAGTTTGCGTCAGTCTGACAGCCTGAATTCAACCTTGAAATGTGTAATGCGACTGATTCTTTCTGAGGTCGCTTTTTCCAACAAATTTGACAATATTTCTCCGGGGAGCGCAGCAATAGACAGGGGCAGCGCCAACAGTTTGTCGGACTTAGCAGTAACTAAGATGGGCGGGGCTTAGCAAAGGGTCAATAGAGGGTACGCGCATGAAGTCACGGAACACAGTTACACTCAGTGGCAGACAGACGAGCAGCAGTGTTAGCTTGAATCAGCTAAAACACAAATTCTGGATCACCGGTTCCTTGGTGAGCAGTAAGGATCACCGAGTCCAGCTGCTTTTAATTTGTTTTACTCCCAGTTTGCTAATCGCAGCCATGGTAACAGATGTTTTGCCACTCAGTCCAGCGTGTTCCGGAAGGGGAAGTGACATCAACGCCTACCCTCTATTGGGTTTTTATGCGTTTTTGCACCTCAGAGCCACCATACAGAGCGCTCGACTACCACCCCAGCAGACCAGGTAACTTTCCCACAGACATCAGGACCTCAGGGGCCCCCAAAGTTGTCTGAGTAGCAATCACATTGTTGTAATTAGATTAATGGCAGACTTGTTTCGGTAAGCTGAAGATAAACTGAGACAAAGGGCCCTCAGGTGGCTCCTGCATTGGGGCCCTGTCTTATAACAGACAGTATTGTCTTCAGAAGGTTCGAGGTTGAGATTACAGATGTCAGAGGAGTAGAGTGATGCATCATGGTTGTTTGTAGCTTTAATGCTGCTAGGCGAGTCAGTCGGCAGTAAAACATTCAGTCGGTTCAGTTTAACCTGCAGGAATTTGACGCCTCGCGTTTCGCTGCCAAAGAAAAAATAATTCATGACGAGTGAAGAAGAGCGGAGATCTTCTCCCGACAAGAATTAATGCTGACGCCGAGGAGGAGGAGGAGGAGCTGACAAACAGAGGCTGAAACCTTCCGCCAGAGAAAGACAAGATACAAACATGTCTGTCTTCTCTTTAGACCAACTGTCTCAGCAGCACAGGTCGCTGAAGGTGTTCTGTCCTTCTGAAGTCTGCGGACTTTCAATTTCAGACATTTCAGTGCCATCAAACTACCACTGAAGCAAACCCGGGGCTGGAAGTACCGGGTACTGTAACTCGGTGCAGACTGGATCACACCGTCGTACCTTCAGGTATTTCTTGTAGTTGTTGTAGACGACGGCCAAGAAGACGGACATGAAGATGTAGGTGTTGATGAGGATGTACAGGATGAAGAAGATGGCGAAGACCGAGCTGGTGTTGTACGCCGGCATCCTGCGGACGAGAAGCAGAAAACCGAACATGCAGATAGACAGATAAAAGTTTCTGAGAGTCACTTCCTTCTTCTTTTCTTCCTCTGACTGCAGAAACATGAAGGCGCTGTGATAAATTCATGACTTGCTAAAATAACTAAATGAAAAAAGGAGAAAATAAGCTGAAATTTCTTCCCCTGTGAATGCGTTTCTGCTGCATCACCAACTTCCTCCTTTATGGTAGGAGGTTGTATTTAGCTGTAGTAGAAAGGCGTTTTAAAAACACTTTTACGATTTCACTTATACGACCTCGGGTCAGAGGTCACCGGAGTCCTCCGGGCTCAGATCAGTGAACACAGACTGAGGAGGATTTGTTCCAGGGTCTTACATGACGTCGGGGCTGTTGGCCGTGGTGACGAGGACGTAAAGGTCGAAGACGACCTCCAGGTAGTTGGTGAAGTACGGAGTTCCTTCCACAGTCTTCAGACCTCTGCACACAAAACACACGGAGATCAGCAAACACAGTCGTTTCATGTCTGCAGTGAACACACACACACACACACACACACACACTACTGAAAGAAGACTGTCTGTACATGTATATTTTTAATCCTCGTGCATTAATTTAAAGCAGGATTTTACTGTTGAGGGGAGCCTTTTATTTTGGATCGGAGTGCAGCTAATGATTATTTTCATTATCGATCAATCTGCTGATTATTTTTTTAATTCATTGATTTCTGAAAAGAGCCCAAAGTGACGCCTTCACATTGTTTGTTTCGTGTAACCAACAGCACAAAGCTCAAAATGATTACAAATAAATTTAAATAATTAAAAAGCAAATCTTCACATCTGTGAACCGTGAAATGGTTTTACATGATAAACGTCTTAATCCATCAGTACTTGAAAGTTTTCTGTCACCGACTGATCCTGTCAGCTATAAGTATTTAAGTAAACTGTTGGTAACTAATCATCATTTTATATAAACTCTTCATGTGTTTTGTGTGAAATTCTTTACTTGTAAAGAAACTGAAGCTGTCAGATAAATGTAGAAGTAAAAAGTACAATACCTGCATCTGACGCAGAGTAGAAGGAAATACTAAAGTACAAATACTTCTAATTTGTACTTACAGTATCTCACAAAGCGAGTCCTAAAATTCACTGGTTCCAGCTTTTCAGCCGTTTCCTACAGTGACCTGAATCTCTGTGGGTTTAAAGACCTTTCAGGACGTCAGCGTGGAGATAAAGCCAAGGTTTAATAATAAATCAGCAATCGATAATGAAAATAATTGCTAGCTGCTGCCCAAATATAAAAGCAGGAAATGGCAACGCCCCCTTTATTGATCGGACTTCACGCTATGTAGCCGGGTTCTGTTTGCTGCTCTGGTAGAACTGAAACTTATGTGTGATGGATCGATCAGCTGGAGGCCACCTGCTGCCTTCCAGCCTTCAAAGCTCGTACGTCTGTTTGGAAAAAGCTCGTGGATTGTAAAGGAGGACGCCGTCTGACCGTTTGCCCAGCAGCTTGAGGGCCATCAGGGAGAAGATGAGGAGGCTGAACATGAAGAGCAGGAAGACGTAGAAGATCTGAGGCAGAGCGTTCCGGATGCTTCTGAACGCTCGGCGGAGCTGAACACAAACAAACAAACAGACCGCAGAGTTTAGGAGGCCGCTCGTCCTCCCAGAGGACGCAGACTCACAGACACAAACTAATGATGCGTTCAGGCGCCATCAGCTCGCAGAGTCAAACATTTCCATGTTTAGCAGCAGGAAGTTTAAACAGCAGAACACATTCATGATGCAGAGATTACAGCACAGCAACACACACGGTGGCCGGCCGGCGGTCAGCAGCAGCACGCCATCTCGTGTGAGGGTTTACCTGAGACACACCTGCTCACACTCGTTTCTTTAAAAGAGGATTTTGATCAATTATTACTCTGGTACGAATACTTTCATTAAATATTGTTTTGCAAAGTCAAGTGATATTAAATCACCAACTCAGCTGATCGATAACTGATTAATGATTAGTGTCAAAAAACAGCTGGTCAGTCAGAGCAGAATCTAACTTCTCAGTTTAAATGAGGTCATATTAACAAGTAGTGGATCCAGAAACCTCCTGAGTCACTGCGACACTGACAGAATAAAGCAGCTCAGAGTCTGAGCAGCAGTGGAGCTAAACCAACACGTTCCCACTCCACACTGGTCGTATGGACGCTTGGTCAAGACCCCTTGGCGTTGCTTTTTAACGCCTTGGGTACCTTTTAGCGTCGTTATTGTACTACGTGTAGGAGCCACAGTCACGTTAGCAAGAACAAATACGCAACGTCCGTTTAGACTTTAAAGACAAAAGTACTTGTTAACGTTGTGAAAAAATTCTGTTAGGTTGAGGAAAAGATCATGATTTGTCACGATGTTACATCACTTAGGGAGTTAAGTAATGTTTCTTGCGTAACTTATGCAAATTAAGCAACCTATGTAATTAAAGAGGTGGTATTCTGCTTTTTGGCTTTTCCCCTCTCCTTTATTGATTTATATCCTTTTTTGTACTGTAACAGGTTTGCAAAGTGAAAAAGCCCAAAGAAGTTCCCATCTTCCACAGAAAACTCTGCTCTGAACTGAAAACAGCTCGTTTGTAGTCCAGCTGCTTCCCTTTCATCCTGTGACGTCACAGGGATGAAAGCTAAACGCGCCTCATATAACGCTCGCCAAGCGGCGACTCCGACACGCCCTCAGAAACAGCGAGCTGCAGCACACAGCTCTCCTCTCCCTTCCAAACACTAGCTACCCTCCAGGCAGTCAGTGGACATAAAGTTGTTCCTGTGATGTAGAGACAGAGCTCAGTTAAAACTTTATGGATACAGATTAATAACTCACCGCTCTGAAACTCTCGCTCCAGTCCGTGTTGCCGACCGGTCGGCAACACGTACGCTGAACCCGAGCTGTTTACCGGCTTCTCGCTGACCCGCCCTTCTCTGCTTCTGATTGGCTAGTAGTCCTTAACTAGGAACTGAGCATGTGCAACTCCCAACAAAGATCATTTAGAGACAAGATGTATCACTCCATAGCTAAAACGAAGCCTTCAACACAGGCTGAAAAGAGGAGCTGCAGCAATGTGCAGTAGGACAAAAATATAACCATGTAAACCTGCTCTGCTACAAACTCTAAATAAGATGAGGAACATAATATGACCTCAACATTCAATGTTTTGATTCACACGGGAAACAAGTCCGGTTTCTGGCCCAGCTCTACCACCTCCTTACTTGGTCTTTTCTGTTAAGTAAATGCCTAAACCTGCCTTTGGCCTTCAAAAGTGACGCTACTTCGCTTTCCCAGTGCGACAAACTGACACCAATGGGTGTTGACCACACCTCCATGTGTGACGCCTTGGGAGTAAGAACGGGTTGGCTGAACAAGTAATCCTCTGAGGAGCAGGAAGCAGGCAATCTGATTCATTCAATGCCAAAATCAAAGCTATGAAACTATCGTGAGAAGTTTATTTACATGACGACATAAATAAAAGCCTGACAGGTGAGACAGGCGGGTCGTTACCTGGCGTCCCTCTGTGACGTTGACCAACAGCAGCGGCCGCAGGACTCTGGACCAGCGGACGGCGTAACAGTTTGCAGCTTCCAGCGCTCCGTAGATGATCATATCGACCAGAGTGAGCTGGACGACAAACACACACAGATTATACACTGTATAAAAATAAGTAAAATATAACACGGCACATTTCAGCTTCTCAGGTTTTGGTTTCATAGCGGGGGGATATCAGAATCAGGTTTCATCTCTCCATGTTTTCAATGTTTGAATTACAGAATGCAATTTAACTTTTCGTCTTGGTAGCACACTTCACTGAAAGGGAGGAGGACGACTAATCCAGGTCAACGGTCGACCTCTCACCCAAACGTCAACCCTAACAGCTTTTTGTTTCCAGAACTCGACCTCCTGCTTATCAATTAAACAGATTCAGACTTCCAGCCGTGTGAACCAATCAGGACCAAGAGACAAAACAGGAAGTCATGAGACAAAACAGGAAAAGGAAATGACATTTAAAAGCAACTGAAGAGGGAAAAGCAGCGGCGAGCTCGTCCCTCAGGAGTTTATATGTTAGACTTCTGATGGTTCCGGCTCGTCTGCTGTTGGATTCCACCGGATCAGTAACGCTCCTTCATCCCGGCAGGTCCAACACGTTTCCCTGCTGCCTCAGTAAACAGCTCAGCAGTTTTTCATATCGTTTCATGTACCCTGCCGTGATTGGTCGCCTCAGTCACTGAGTCACCAGGAAGCCTTTCAGCTCTAAAGGTGCTGACGAGGCAACATCCGCGGCTAAAGGTTGTTTCACAACAACAGGCAGAAAGTCTTCTCAGCACATTGTGGCTCTGCAGCTCTCAGACAGGAACTCAGCTCAGCTTCCTCACCAAAAACCAGGAACTGTCCAGGGCCCCAAACCGTACGACTCACCAACCGTCACCGCTACTTAACCTCGTCCCTCAGATGACAAACAGGTTTACAGGGATCCTCTACTCTGGAGGTCTGCACAGCACCAAACTTAAAAAAAAAACTGAATCCAAATTGTGTGACAGAACCTGGATGTGAGCCTTAACAGATAAAAATGACCTGGCTTTGAAAGACGGAAACCCGGAACCAGTTTTGTTTGGGTCTAATAGTTCTGACATGATAGCTAACGGCTAACACATGAGCCAGACAGGTCCATGCCTTATGAAGTTGTTCTGGTTTGGTTTCATTTGTTGTGGTTTCAGTTATTCAAGTTTAAAGTATTCTGGTCTTGCTTTGGTGTGGTTTCAGGTTTTCTGGTTTCAGTTCCGTTTTAGTCTGGTTTCAGATGTTCTGGTTTTAGTTTGGTCTGGCTTTAGTTACTCTGGTTTTGGCTCTTTATGGTCTAAGTTGTTCTGGTTTCAGTTGATTTGGATCTTGATTTGGTTTCACTTGTTCTGGTTTAAGTTCTGGTTTGGTCTGGTTTCAGGCGTTCTGGATTCAGTTGTTCTCATAGTCTTTTTTTGTGGCCAATGGAACAAAGTGACCGGGCAAGTTTCCTACGTCACACCTTAGCCCCTCCCACCAGACCGATGACGTCGGTAAGCCCCTCCTACCATGATTATGACGAGGATGCAGATGTTTTTGGGATCTTTCCAGAACTTCTCTCGGGGGATCACCTTGGCGTAGTGAACGATTCTGAGGGAGAAGACGAGCAGACAGAGCAGCTCCACCAGCATGGTGGCCTGAAAACACAACAAAAAACACAGTCAGCTGACGCATGATGATTTTAACACGCTGGTTTCACGTTTCACAAAATGTGTCCTCCTCAGTCTTTAAATTAAACGTTAGCCATCAGACAGTGACGGTCACACGAGATCTTGGTTCCTGATTGGCTCTCAGATGAACATTAAAGTTTCAAAAACATCTTTAACGAGAAACCAGTAGAACTTCAGTTAACAGCCAGGGCTTTTATTTGCTCACCAGTGGCCTTTGCTACGAAGCGGGGGAAGTGCCTTATCCAGGTAACTTCAGGTACTACGAAAGGTGGACAGGTGTTACCCGGGGTCTGTTGCCATGGCAATTTACGCCGCATCTCTAAACTGCTCCGAGCAGGTTTTGTTGGTGGTGAACTCGAGGTCACCCTGCACGTGGACTCCACACCACATCTGTACTCAGTGTTACTGATGAGAAGTATTAATACACACACTGCAGCTGAAGTTCTGAACACAACAGCATGACGGTCAGACAGCGAGCCCTGCAGCCGAGCTGGGATCTTAGAGAGGAATCTTAATCAACGGGACAGTTTCTTAGATGGAGCCCATCTGTAGGCCATGATAGGGAGCCAGGGTTAATAACCGAGAAAAAAAAGATCCTAGATGAAAGTGTGAAATTTACAAGAAGAAAAATCGGAAATTCCCTGAAATTTATGTCATAAAAAATCGAAAATCCCTCTGTTTTCTTCTGAATACGCCCAATCCAAAGTCTCTGAGGTGCATGATAGTGACTGTGGGCTAAACTCAGGAGTATTTCCTCACTGCTAAATCAGACTGTAAAGTTTAATATAACTTTCCAGTGCGTGTATAATACACGGCAGACATGTGTGTGATGTTTCAGCCTCGCACAGTGAAGTTTCTCTGATAAATGTGTGACTCTAATATCAGAGAATATTCAACTTCTTTACTTGTAGATTAATCTTGGTAATTAAATTCTGTCTCAGATTATTCCCCCTCTCCGCTGGCTCCTTTTCTTCCATCACAGTGACCTCATGTGCAGCTGGACCTTTACATCTTATCATATTACACATAAAAGAAGAGCCCATAAAATTCATAATAAGATTGAACTACAATAAGAACACTGTGAAGATAATTAGGCTACAAATTTACTCCATGTGACGCCAACAAGCCTCCTTGGCTCTGTCGGCCGCCACGTTGTTAGATTTAGCCGTTAACTTGTCTTTACATTCAGAATTTCCTGACACTTCCAACGTGCACTCCTCTGGAGAAATACGGTAGTTTTTGCGCCGTTGCGAAAAAACTTTGGCCGAACACGCCCCTTTATGCGCACGCGCACCAACTCCAATTAAGTCAACACGGACTCAACTGACCAACATCTGTTACCCCGAGTTAACCCTGAGTAGTTGAACTCCCTTGGTAGTGCAGGCCTGTAATTGGGCCTTTAATTAAAAAGGCCAGCAAAGATGGGAAACAGTATCAAAGTGTTTTCAAACCAGTATGAATATTACTTGTATAATAATGTCATTCTTGTGATCAGCTTGTCTCTCCTGCGATTATGTTGACTGTGTTTGAGTGGAATTGTTTGCGTTAGCATTGAAGCTAATAAGTAGATGAACTAGTGTGTTTGTTCCCCCCCACTCGAAGTATCAGGGTTGGTAAAAACTGATCCGTCTACGTCCTGGCCTCAGAAACTGGGCCAGGCTGGGTTTAGTTTGAAGAAGCCAGAGAAGGTTTTTGTTTAATACTTTTGTTTTAGCGGTTAGTAATCTCATTTCTAGAGAACTCCTTTTCTTATATTGTTTTCACGTGCCCGTTTCTGTTAGTTTAAACTCTCTTTAACAAACCAAAACCATCTGCTTTATGTTTACCATGTTCTCATATAATGGATCTAAACACTTTGGTGCTCATAGTTTCCATTAAATGAAATGAACGGTTGAATTGTGGACAATCTGCTTAGACATAAAACTCGAGCGGGCGACCTGCTGGGCTTCAAGAGCTTTTATACATCCAGAGAACTTGTGTAAGTCTTACCCATGTAGGCAGAGGGAGGACAGCCGGCTCCTCGAAGATCGCCAGAGACAGATCGACCAGGATGAAGAAGTAGAGGAGCACCTTAGGGAGCCAGTGGTTGTAGCGCAGATACAGCCTGACGACACACACAAGCTTAGACTTGCATTCATTCCTGGAGACCCTAAAATCTGCCTTTACCCAATTTAGGAAACTGCTTGGACAGTCAACTGAACTTTAATGTGTCCCTGAAGGTAGCATAAGTACGTACACACAACAACAACAACGACGAGCTCTGTGGGGAAGGAAGAAGAGACATCAGGATGTTATAAACACAGAATTTGTTAGTATAACCTCACGGCTGGTTTGAGTCACAACATGAACGTTTGTTGACAAGAAATATAGAACATCACCAGACTTGCACATAAAGAACCACGTAGAGGAAGAAGTGGAAGTGGTTTCTGAGATGGACACACTGGTCTACAGGGTTCAGGGTACGATGGGGACTAAACTCTGGTGGTCTCACCTCACGGCCTCAGGCGACGTGTCGAAGTAGATGTTCCTGTTGTACTGAGCGTCCGACACGTAGATGGCCGCCAGGTCGAAGTCCTGAAACACAGACAGCTGTTATTAACCAGCCTCGGTTTAAGACACCAAATATGTCGGGCAGCGTGTTGAGAGGACGGCTGCACATCACCACACCGAGAACATCAGACCCGAGACAGGGATTCAGTCTGGAGTTTTAAAGAATCCATCACACAAGCTTTCATTCCCTCGCTCTCCGTCTGCTGAAACAGCTCACAGACGCTAAACTGCCCAGCAGGCAGCAGCACGACGCACAAGAACAACATATTAATGTTAAACTCGCTGATTTGGTTTTTAAGATGTTTGACTTTTAAAGCGCTCCGTGTCCTCAGATTAAATCTGAAAACACAGTCTGGGGTCATCAGGAAGGACGCTGAGGTGTAAGATTATTATTATTATGTAGTTATTAAAAGGGGACGAAGCTTTTGCCATCAGGATCCTTCACATCTGGACCGACCTGCCTGATAATGCCTTATCTTTTAAAACGGTCCTGAAAACCCGCTTTTAGGAGGTCCACGCACACACTGGATCTTGTCTGTGTGTTTTTAAGATTCATATTTTCAACGTGTGCATATTTTGGTATTTTACTATTGATTTTCTCTCATTTTCCTTTTTCATCTCCACAAACAGGCGAAGCTTCGTGGAGACAGAACTTCTTACGGCAGAGCTGTGGCAACTATTCTGATAATCCATTCATAATTTCATATTTATTCTCTTCTGTCTCAGAGCTTCTGCTTTTCTCTGCGAAGTGAATTCATCTGAAGAAGTCATTGTGGACTCGTGAGCACTTTTATAAAGTCTACTTAATGATGATCACTCAGTTAAAAACATCCAGATTAATCTCCAGCAGAGGTGTGAGCTGTCTCACAGAACAGGGACTTTCAGAGACATAAAATGGGAATTGCACGTTAATTATTCACTTGTGTCCAGTGTTCATCATTCTTTAGACACCTTTAAGCTGCAGCCGAGTTTCTGATCTGCGTCTTCATCGCTGTTTACGCGCTTTATGAGGCGCAAAGGACCAAAGTCCGTCTCTCTACAGCTGTCATGTGAAGGAACCGCACACGTCCTCGGTCTGAGGCTCACGGGAGGACAGAAGCCGGCTGCAGTCTCTCTCACCTCTTTGGTTTTTGCAGGATTCCCTCCGTTAGGAAGTCCTTTTCCTTTTTCCGCAGACTCAGCAGGGACCTCCTCGCTCTTCTCTGGCTCGGACATCTCTCAAACTTTTCCGACTCAACTCTTCCCCAAACTGAAAAAGTTATTTCAACGCTGCTCGGAGAGTGTCCAGACTTCCTGTCCGAGGTGCAGTGTTTGTGTCTCTGCAGGACAAAAGTCCAAACCGGTCCGTTTTTGTCGTAAACGTCACCGCGGAGCGTCCATCTCCGAGGACCCGCATCACATGGCTTCCTTTCCGCCGCACACCGAAACTTTCACCCCCATCAGGCTTCAGTCCGACTCTCAACTGATCCCAGCTGCTGCTTGTCCCGATCTAATAAACCAGGACTCGTGCTGCCTTCACGGACGGGAGGAAATGTGAAGGAGAAAAGACAGTGACGTGGTGAAAATGAATCATTTCAGTCCAGCATCGAATATATAAAATTATTTTATATTTCACCCGCATCACTTTATTTGGCTGACTTTTTAGATAATAAATATTATACAACAACATGGTCAAAACCCGCTCTGCTGTCAAATCTGGACTAGAATGTCCCAAAGAGACTAAGGTTTCTTTAAAACAAAGTTCCTGTAGGCTGGAACACACTAGAGCGCATAAATAGCATTTTTTTTTCCATTTTCACACATCTATCTATGTATATCTATCGATCTAGTCCAGATTTGACAGCTCTCGGCACAGTGGTTTCTTTTCACTTCCCCTGGCGAGTCGGAAACTAACTTCGCATCACTGAAGAGTTAAAGTTTAATGTTTGAAGAAGACTCATTAATAAAGTTAAACTGATGACACAAGCAAAACTAGGCTATTGAAGAAACAAACAACCAACGAGTATTCTGGGAAGTATTGCCTATTAGCTGATGACACTCTGAGCAACTTCTAGAGCAATCGTGCAGGGCAACGTTGCCATCAATGGCAATGAGTAAAGATTATTACTGTAACACTGTTTCATGTTTCAGCTTGTTGAAATAAGCCATTAAGTGTTTTCTACAATAATAAAAATTAAAATCCAAATTAAAAAAAAGCTGTTACTGGTCTTGTGACGTGATCAAAGTGAGGATGACGTTGCAGCGTGCAGCCTCACGTCATGTCCCGCAGCCTTCAGTCCCAGATGCTGACACCCCGGCCTCCATCAAGGCAAAGATCCAGCTGGACGACCTCTACAGGAGGCGTTTCCCACACACTGATTTATTTGTGGCGGCCTGACACATAATCAAGGCTGATTTAACATTTAGTTTCTATTTAAAATGGGTCAAATCCTATTTGTATACGCTGTCATTCTGAGGGAAACACTGTGTTTACAGGCAGGAGGGGCAGCGTCTCATGTGACAACCTGTCCGTTAGTGACTGGGTCACAGTCGGACCTGCCACCAGCAACATGGCTCAGAAAGTTGCCCGTGTGTCCTTACTTTCATTCTTTCATCTATGTTCGTTAGATTTAGTTGTTTAGTTATTTGATCTCAAATAGTTTCTGCTGTCTGACTGAATAAAGCTCGTTTGTTCGGTTCGTTTTTGTGTCTGTTAACGTTCGTGTACCGACTTTGATCCGAGTCAGTGAATGCAGCACGGGGCGTCATGTGACTCGCAGCAGCAGGATAACGGAAACAGAGAGAGAGAGAGAGAGAGAGAGAGAGAGAGAGAGAGAGAGGTTATAAACTCAGGAGTGGAAATATAGTCAGAAGTTCAACCACATCTGCAGCTCAGAGCTCCACCTTAAAACAGATCTCACTTCAACTCGAGTGCAGCAGGCAATAAAATCCAGTCAGCTGCTCAGTAAACTATTGAAAATCTTTTCTTTGTACTTTTGTCAGTTAAATAAATGTGAATGAACAAATCCCAGATGTTTGTTGTCACTGCATGTTGGAAAGATCTTTCTAATATTACTACTGTATTGTCCTGTGATTGCACCTTAATGATTACACGTGACAAATAAACTCAGTTGATATAAAAAATAGCTCTTCTTGAAGCTCCTAAACGCTCTTCATGCTTTACACTTTGTCATATTAGAAATTTATTCTCTAAATATTACAACTTATTGCTAGAAATATTACAGATTTAGTTGTATTCAAATTCTAATGCTTTTTATTTTACAACTTTATTTTCATAAAATCTGTTCATACTGTACTTTTAAAGTCATCCTTCCTAATATGATTCAATTAAGTGATTAAGTGAAAAAGTAACTAAAGTTGTCAGATACATGTAGTGAAGTCAAAGTATCAAGAAGCAGAAAATGGAAACACTCAAGTAAAGTAGAATTACCTCAGAACTGTAATCTACTTAGTTACTTTCCACTTTTCTGCCCTTGGTGCCGTGAGCGTGACTTTACTAACACCACATCAGGTCGGCTAACGTCAAGTAAACGTTCACTAAATCTTTAACCGATTAAACTCCCTTGTGTTTATTTATACACTTTTTACTCAGTGTGAAAACACCGTCACACAAAACAATAGAATACATCTATTTTACACATGAGCCACATAAGGACCCGCGTACGGGCGTCAAGTGAACAAAAAAGGATGGGCAGCAATTCAGATACAGATTTTTATTATCTTAAAGTGTTTGAATTTGCATTTGGAATATTGGTCATGTAGTTATTGGACATATTTGCATAATATTGCATAAGTAAAAATGACTCAAACTAACTCCATCCATCAGATAAATGTAATGAAAAGTGCTAGATTTTCCTCTTAAATGCAGTAAAGAAGTCTCACAGAACAGACACGTTAACTACAGCAGTCGAGTAATTTATTATTTTCAGCATGAGTGCAGATTCAACTTGTTGCCCCAAATCAGCAGGACAATGATCCTGAACAACACAAGGAAGTGAAGATGGCTGCAGACTCCACGGCAACATTCCACTTCCTGTGTACATCACCCAAAGCATGATGGGAACTGTTCAAAAACTGTTTGAAAACATGTCAAGCTGCAATAAAGGAAATATTTCAATCTCAAGATGTTCCATCAACATGGTTCTTATATCCCTGGAGCACAAACACTCACCTCTCGACCTTCGCGTACACAGATCCGCTGTGTCATTTCTGACGGGTGAATAATTCTTCCACGTAAGGGTTCAGTTTCGTTCTCCTGTCTGGTCATAAAAAACACCGTGAGCTGTGTGAACTTGAGATGGACACGTCACAGACTGAATGATTAACTGATTCATCAATCAGCAATAATGAAACCACCTCGAGATGAACGACTTCAATCAACGACAGCAGGATCCTGTCTGGTGAAATATACAGCAGCACAGTCCACCCTCACATTTTTAGAAATATCTGATTAAGTGAAAATGTCCATATTGGACCCAAAGAGTCAATATTCTGTGTGGCCTCCAGTATTTTCCAGCGCTGCTTTAACCCTCTTGGGCCTGGAGTTCAGCAGAACTTCACAGGTTTCCTCTGGAGTCCTCTTCCACTCCTCCACATCACAGAGCTGGTGGATGTTAGAGACCTTACGCTCCTCCACCTTCCGTTTGAAGAGTCCCACAGATGCTCAGTAGGGTTCAGGTCTGGAGACGTGTCGGCCAGTCCGTCACCTTTACCCTCAGCTTCTTCAGCGAGGCGGCGGTCGTTCTTGGAGGTGTGTTTGGGGTCGTTATCGTGTTGGAACGCTGCCCTGCGGCCCGGACTCTGAAGGGAGGGGCTCTGCTTCAGTTTGTCACAGTTCATGTTGGCGTTCATGGTTCCCTCAGTGAGCCGGAGCCCCCGCAGAGCCGGCGGCACTCATGCAGCCCCAGACCAGGACGCTCTATTTGTTGATGTAACGTGTCCAAACTAGGTATCAGTGTTGCCATGTTCATCTGGGAAAAAGTTATCACATATCCACTCCAGACTCAACTACACTAAACAAGACTGAAATATACAGAGTTGGCTCTGTTCAAGTGATTATCTTTATATTTAAGCATCAGTTAAAAGCGTCTCTCACACCTTCACTGAACATGAACGTAAGCAACAAAAATGAAACCTACGACAGCAATCCTATTGGTTAGAGGGTTCACAGGTGTCCATAAAGCCAACAGCACGTTACTACATTGTTCTCTATATTATATATTTCATCTTAAACCCTGCAGTGTTCTGCAGACAATGATACAACAGGCCCTTCAGAGGAAAAACACATGAGGGGGACAGTTGGTGGTGAGATCAGACCTGGACAGGAACCTCTCAGCAGCACGTGACAGTGTGGCGTGCTGCCACCTGACACAGGCACGTTCCTGTTGATTGTAATGAGCTCCTGTGGCCACGTGGAGGCGCTAGAGACACGTCTGTCCAACTCACTTTTTGTGCTGTTCTGCAGACGGCGCTTTTTCTTTACTGAGTTTGGAGGACTTGTTGCATCCCAGAGGTGTTGGATGGGGCTGAGTTCAGGACTCTTTGCAGACCTGTTCTGTCACACCAGACCAAACCTTTTCTTCATGGAGGTTTGTACGCAGGGACAGTCCTGTCTCATTCCTATAGTGAGGTTCTCAGGGACAACATGGACAGTAAAGACAGAATCACATTAGACCTGAGCAGACAGACTCAGGATGAAAACCTCTTTAGACACACAGTATCTCACAAAGTCAGTACATGTCTGTAATTCATGTTTCAACACTGAAGAAATGACACTTTACTACAATGTAATGTGAGCGTGCAGCTGGTATAACAGTGTAAATCTGCTGTCCCCTCAAAATAACACACCACACAGCCGTTAATGTCTAAACCGCTGGCAACAAAGTGAGGACACCCCTAAGAGAAAATGTCCAATGCTTAAATATTTACATAAATGTGAGGGGTGATACTGTAGTTTCAGCTTTCAGAAATCTGACTGGACTACAACTGTGAGGACAGACTGACCTTTTTCTTAAGACTGCAATTTGATCAATATATAAAATACTGTAAATAAATTACATCCACAATTGTGTCCCCGAGCGAGACACTTAACCCCTCGTTGCTCCAGAGGCGTGCGACCTCTGACCTCTGACATGTATAACATTTGTAAGTTGCTTTGGATAAAAGTGTCGGCTAAATGAATAAATGAATAAATGTAACGTAAATGATCTACATGTGCTAATAAGATGTGACCCATTACATATGTCATTACTATTATATTATATATATATTATATTATATTATATTATATATATATTATATTATATATATATATATATTATATTATATTATATATTATATTATATTATATTATATTATATTATATATATATATATATTATATTATATTATATTATATTATATTATATTATATATATTATATATATATTATATTATATTATATATATATATATATATATATATTATATATATATATATATATTATATATATTATATATATATATATATTATATTATATTATATTATATTATATATATATTATATATATATATATATATATTATATATATATTATATTATATTATATTATGAATGCTCAAGACAACCTACTAAACTGAAAACATGACGTTTTCTTAACTAGCAGATCAGATAAACAGCAATAAGAACAAAAGGGTGGTTTGAAATGTAGGGGAGCCCTCAACAAGGAAAATCCTGAAGTGCAAGTACCTCAACATTTACACAAGTACCCCCCCCCACAAAACTGAGACACTTAGAGCTTTTTAAGTGATCCATATTCAGGAGACTTACATTGCATTTATTTAATATATGTGGTTGTTGAATTTGAGAAGTAGGAGAGAGAGCCTTTGGTCTGACCTACAGATTTAAAGAACTAAACATAACTATTCTCTAAAATATGACGATTTCCCTCTCTGAGCACCAAGAGGCCCAAAACATGAACAACAGTTCAGCTGTTTGTTGTCTGTGATTGGTGTGAACTTCACAGAGCAGCTGCGGCCTCACGGCTTCTGTCGTCTTCAGTTTCACAGAGATGCTCCGCTATTATCACCTGCTGCCTTCCCTCATCAATTATACATCACAGCCGCAGTTCACTGACCCGCCCTCCTGCGTTTACTCCCTGCTGGACTCCATTAAACCTGGTTTCAGGTTCCTGTTGTTGAGCCGAGCTCTCAGCGCCGCTGGTTGGGCCTCCGTTACCCCAAACTGAATATTTGGACATAACTGCCCGTCGGCATCAGTGGACAGTTTAATGAGACACATTGAACTAAAGAGTTTTACTCTTTTAGCAGCTGGCACGGCTCTTATTTCGGTGGTTTAGTTAATCATTTCTGTTAAGTTAATACCTGTGAACCTTTGAATTAGTCCTGTAAACAAAAACAATCAGGGTAGAGGTACTTTAAAAAGTACTGTGTTCTACTACGAAATGCAGTACATCCCATTCATTTAGCTGACACATTTACACAAAGCAACTTACAGCTGCTGCACACGCCACTGGAACAACAAGGGGTTAAGTGTCTCAGGGACACATTGGGAGTTGAACTCTGGTCGCTCACACCAAAGGCATGTGTCTTATCCACTGTTCCACCTCCTCCACAGCAGCAGGAGGTTTTGAGTACAGACCAACTGACCACATCATGATTGAGCCGCTCTGTCAGAAATGTGAATGAAGCTCAGATTAAACATCATGCGCCTCTTTTTGTTTCTCAGAAGTAGCTGCCGAAAGACAAGCTGGTGGGGAAATATAGACGCTATATTTTTAGACTTGACCTCCAGTGAGCCGCCGTCCATGTTGGTGTAAATGAAAGCAAACTGATTAGTTGAATAAAGTCAATAAAGTTTCAAAACAAACACTTTTATTCATAATCAGAAGAGTCAGCAGTTTCAGCAGTGCTTCACACAGTTTCCATCCTTTCCTGTTCTGATCCGCACTAATTAAATTATCTTGTTTAGAAACTTATAAAAATATAAAAGCAGCCACATCAGAGCCTTTCTTCAATCAGCTGAGAGGAAACCAACAACACTCGTTTATTACAGGAAACATGAGAGAAGTTACCCCAGGACAGACGCTCCAGACCAGGAAGCCACAACATGTGAGGGTGGACAAAATAACAGAAACCCCCAGAAACAGCTGGGCAGGAAAAACCAGTGAGATGAAGAATATAAGTTAAAAACATTTTGTGACTCTCTGTTGATTCAGCTTGCTGCTCGTTTGTGAAGCCAGCAGGCTCCGCTGTGTGTGGACTAAATGCTGATGAGTTTCTGGATCTGATGACCCAAACTGTCATTCATCACTTCACATCCCTGAAGTCCCGCCTACTCCTGACAGCCGGACGCTGACAGCTGCTGCGGTGATCCAGATGTTGCTTCACAGCCTGACAGCCCCCCCCCCCCATCATGTACACGCTTTAAGAAAAAGAATCAGTCCTGTTCTGGATCACAAGGCTCTGCGGGAGGAAACCTCTAGAAAGATTTCCATCGGATGGCCGACAGGATGGTGTGGATGAAGTAGAGGAGGGTCGCCACGTAGGAGAAGACCTGTCAGGAGAGATGGCACTTAATTTAGAAATATTTTATGTTTGTCTCGGATGGAGTGTGTTTGGCAGATTAAGAGGCGGAGCTGTGCTCCAGTTTCAGCTAAGTGTGGTAAAAACGAGGTGACAGCTGTAGGCACGTGCAGCCGAGCAGAACAGTTTCCTGACTGCTGCGTAGAGCAAAAGGAAAGTTCAAAGTTGTTGCCTTTGTGTAAGTTTGAACACATGTTTAGGACTCCTGCTGGAGACGTTTTGTTTAGTAACTGTCAAGAGCCAATCAGAGGGTCTCTCAGCTGGTTTAGAGCTCAAGAAAAACAACCAGGACTGCCGGTTCAGGACTCACCACTGCAGAGATGTCCAGCTTGTAGTTCCTGTTGTTGGTCCCATTGTTCATGTCCAGGGTCACTTTGGCCAAAGCCACTGAAGCGCTGAGGTAGAAGAAGGCAGCGATGCCGTGATACGCAAAGTCCTGACAGACGAGGAGGAGGAAGACAAAAGACGAGCGTGAGACAAAAGTATGTGGTGAGAGCGACGTTCATTGTTTGCACTGGCACCGAGTCAAAACTCTCAAACATGCGGTTTATCACACTGACGGTTTGTTTGGCTTCAGGTTGTTAGTTTGTTGTGTTGTGATCTCTCAGGTGTTGAGAGATGCTCCAGAATCTGAGTTCAGGATCAGCCAGAAATGACCAGATTACCTTCGTTGTGTGTCTTTATATTTTAATGCTTTAAAGAGCTCCTCTGATGCTGTGGTGGATTACACTTTTACAATCACTAATCAGCTTCATTGGCATGAAAGTATAACAACAATATTGCTAAAGCTGTAAATAAATGAGTAAAAGTTGTGTTTGTTAATAAGAAATTAAATAAAATTAATTAATTAATTAAAAAAAAGACGAACTGAAAAAATCTAATGTGACATTGAAAAACAAAATACAAATAAAGGAACAATTACTAAAATATCAAACAATCAAAATAATAATAGTTTGAAAATGAGCACAGTTATTTATCAGTCTGAGTTTCCACTGGTTGTCCTCAGACATATTTTGCAGCACTTATTTGACATTCTGGCATTTCTCCCAGTAAATCGGGGAGTTTCTGTGAGTCTGCTAGAGATCTGAATTCGGGGTATATTTGTGAAATGTTTGTTTCTTAGTGTTTTATATTTCGGGCCTGAGGTTAGAAAGTGCAGCTCCGTCTCTGCCTGATTATCTCTGCTGGTCGACACTGAAACTGTCACAGACAAACCTTTCACTGCCTAAAGCTGAGCTTTTATTCAAACCAGGCGTTTTAATCTTCCCTGCACAGGATTGTGGGTAGAAGAGCAGTGAGTCGAAGGTTAAAATGACTTACCGCTGCAGCCCAGCTGCTTCTGTTGTTGTGCATCCCGCAGGCGAACACCAGCAACCAGATAAAAGTCATGACGAAGCAGAAGATGGAGACGAACATGACCCAGGCCTGAGGGTTCGCCGGCACCACCAGCGTGCACGCCACCAGGATCCACACCAGACCCCCGAAGATCTGCAGGAACACCAGAGACTCATGAGACACAGCTGATCGTCCAGCTAGCAAACCTATTCTACTCAATGCACTGCAACTAATGCTCCTTTTCTTTATCGGCTAGTCTGCTGATTATCGTCTGGATTAATCGATCAATTGTTTCGTCTATACATTGTCAGAAAATAGTGACAGGGATTCAATTTAAAATGACGTAAAACAGAGAAAATCTGAAACTTTGGAGACGTGATGTTTTAAAGAAATGACACAAATGATCAAAATGGTTGCAGATTAAATTCAAGTCAGTCAATAAATCAGTTTTAAACTGCAAGTTTCACTGTTTAGTGTCACATTCATCAAAACGCAGCAGAAATGTGTCAGCATAGTGTTTGGTGGTCGTACCGTGTCGGTCTGACTATTTATACTGTGTGAACTTCGTGAGGCCAAACTGGACTTTTCCACAACAGGCCTTTGTGTTCATTTCCCTGCCCAAGGGCCCCTATATGGTACTGGGGCCCTCTGTGATGGAGGCTGTTTACAGGGTCATGGGGGGCAGTCACACCTAAAGACAATTTAGGGTCACTAATGAACCCACGCAGACACGGGGAGAACATGCAAACAGAAAGACCAGGGCAACAGGGGTTGAACCCGCGACCTTCTTGCTGTGAGCCCACAGTGCTATCCACTGGACCACCGTGCCGCCAAACTCTCATCATGATTGTCAGTTTAATGACTGGCCAGGTAATGATTGGACGCAGGCCACAGTGCACTTCACACACTACGGTTCGCACCGTACTGATTCAAGATCAGTTTTTGTAAGAACAAGTTGAGATTAAAACGGTGGAATTCATTTGTAACTGATCCACGGTCAGATTGGTGTATCTGTAACGTTAGTGTTCGTGAAAATGGAAGCGGTAGCAGCTGAAAGCTGAGCGGCGCTGCCAGGAGAAAGATGGATAAGGAAGAGAAAGAAGTTACTCTAGCAGCTGAGCTCAGCCTCAGTAAGTTAACGTTAGCTAACTTTAGGAAAGAAAGGGAAAAAGACAGAAGTGAACAAACAGAACGAGGCAACTCAAGCTCGTCGGCAGGTACCATCATCTGCACACTGGGGATCGATTACAGAGAGCGTCTCGAAGGGATTTCAGCCTTTCAGAATCTGGCGGCTGAGGGCCCGTGTCCACCAAAGCGTTTTTTTACCAGCTGAAAACACCAGCGGCTCTTCTGAAAACGCCCAGCAGGGAGCGCTAGCGGGCGTTTCAGAGGCACAGCGATTTTTCCAACTGCTTTGGTTGCTATGATACATTTGTTACAAGTAGTTCTACTTTACTTTACTGGAGGTAAAAATGTCAACACAGAGTAGAGTCCTCGCTCTGTATGCAGAGAAGGCTGAAGCAGGCGGAGAGGACGGACTCGCCGTATGTGGGTTCATGAGATGAGGAAACATCTTGGCGAGTAGCATTTCACCGTTTGGTTTAGAGCTGAGGTTGGACGTTGCTACGGTGTGGTGTTTGTCCCGCCCCTCCTCTACTGTGATTGGACAGATGAGTAAAAAGTGACGAGCGCAGCGTTTTTCCCCTCGTCACGCTGCTCCCATTGCAAAGAATTGAAGAAAGATGCTGGCGTGAGAAAAAATTTGGTTTGGTCATTACGGTTTTCTGTACGTTATTTTATACCTTTAACTAAAATAACAGAACGTGCTACACAGGTCCAGTCAGGTTGAATATGTGAGCTACAACCAAGGCCGGATTAGTACCTCCAAGGGCCCCCGGGCACTGAAGCTATTGACACCCAGCAAACTACAGGCACCCGACAAACTCCACCAACACTGCCTGGGTTTAGGTATTATTTAGTGGTTCAGGACTTTTCTGGGCGTGAGGGGTGGAGGTTGGTGTAGGTTGGTGTAGGTTGGTGTAGGTTGGTGTAGGTTGGCGGAGGTTGGCGTAGGTTGGCGTAGGTTGGTGGAGTTTGGCGGAGGTTGGTGGAGGTTGGCGTAGGTTGGCGGAGGTTGGCGTAGGTTGGTGTAGGTTGGTGGAGTTTGGCGGAGGTTGGTGTAGGTTGGCGTAGGTTGGCGGAGGTTGGCGTAGGTTGGTGTAGGTTGGTGGAGTTTGGCGGAGGTTGGTGTAGGTTGGTGTAGGTTGGTGGAGTTTGGCGGAGGTTGGTGTAGGTTGGCGGAGGTTGGCGGAGGTTGGCGGAGGTTGGTGTAGGTTGGCGGAGGTTGGCGTAGGTTGATGGAGGTTGGCGGAGGTTGGTGGAGGTGCGGCCCTGTTTATTTGCGCATTAGAACAGCTGAAAAGAACTATAATTCACTGCTGCTCCCTCTCGACCTTTAACTCACTTGCTCCAGTGTCTCCATTATTTTGTCCCGCCTGTTTTTCCAGTTCGGCCCGCATGGCTGCTGTTGTTTGCTGCATCTCTGATGATTGACAGGCTGCATTATTCATGGAGCCAGACTCCACCTGCTGTTTTTAGATATTCACGGGGTCCAAAAACCAGGATTCCACTGCACGTTGTGAGGGCCGACCGGCTTTGTGGGGACCAAAACGCTGGACCCCACAAGTTTAAAGGGCTGGTTTTAGGGTTCAGGGTAGAATCAGGTTAAAGAGCCACACCGCTGTGTGTGTGTGTGTGTGTGTGTGTGTGTGTGTGTGTGTGTAACGCCTGCAGGCCTCCTCCTCAGTGCCGACGTCTGTCTTGTGTGTTCTTTTCACATCAGCTGCTGTTTACGTCACGCCTGATCCTCCGGCCCCTGACTCTTTCAAACATATTTTTTAAATCTAAAGATTCTCCTCCTCTGAATGAGTTCTCTGGTTCTCTGTAAGTCAGGTATTCAGTGGAGTAACTGTACAGTAGTTTGGATGTTCAGAGAGGTCAGAACTAAATCAAGGTTTCACTTATTTCACTCTTGATCTTTCTTCTGTTTCTGTATCAATATATTTTAAAGGCATCAGAATCTCTTCACTCATTTTGTTCAGCTGTTGTCTTGAAGCCACACTGTGCACATTTACATCAGGGAGTGTCCAGATAAACCCTGTGAAGCTCTGAGGTTCGGAACGACGACACTACATCCTGCAATAAGCCAATAACAAGAAACGAAATAATTTCTTGTTAAAGGAAATGTGGTGAAATTCTTGGAAATAAAAACACAGAACTGTGCAGCTGAATCTGTTACTGGATGTGAAATAATTAAGGAAACAGGATTTAAACGTAAAAACGACGTGACTGAACACGTGTTCACCGATCACCAAACCAGCAACACCATTAAAACTTCTGCCATTTTCTGCAGACCGCAGTCAGACTCACTGGTTTTGGTTTACTCATTTAAACTCGGTTCGGCTAGATAACCCGAGATGTTTCCGTCCGTGCGTAAAAGCTGCGTAAAAGCGGCCGCGCCGTTGAGCCAAGACAAAGACGATGAAGCAGCCCCAGTAAAGTGCCAGTGTGTCGGGCAGCTGCTGTTTCTTACCAGTTCGGGCAGGTAGAGGATGTCGGGGATGGTCGTACATATTCCGGCCCCGCTGGGCAGGTTTCCCATGGTGGCGGTGTTGGAGGCCATCCTGCTGCTGCTGCTGCTGCTCAGACTGAAGAGGGACTCAGAGCTGCTGCAGTTTAAACCAGGAGGAGCTGACCTGAAAAACCGGAATCCCCATCAGCCGAGGTGAGACAGGTGAGACAGGTGAGACACGCCCGGCGCTCCGCTCACAGCGGCTGCTGGCCCGCTGCGCTCCGCTGGAGGTCTGGAGGTTCCGCGTGAGCCGGACAGCGTGACCAGCGTGACTCCTTTATCACCATGACAACCGGCAGCAGCTCCGTTTCCATCATCAACAACAACAACAGCAGCATCATCAGTAGTAACACTTCAGTAACATGAACCTCAGCTGGTTTATTGGCGTTTTGTTTGTTGTAGATGTGACGTCAGAATACATTATGTATTATTATTATTGTTTTATTATTATTTTATTATTTGTTTTATTTTATTTTTATTATTTGTTTTATTATTATTATTATTATATTAGGCCTCTTATAACTGGTAGTTAGTGCCAAATTTAGTTGGTACCTACATGCTAACTGACTCCACTCCAGTACTTTCATTGTTGTGTGTTTCATTGTGTTTCCCCTGTGGAGGATCAATAAAGGAAAATATTTTCTTATTTTATCAATTCTGCACATAAAGTCCTTCAGCACACCTCGTCATCTGCATACAGGGACAAGAGGGTCTACTGTAACACCAACCCCCGAAGAGACGGCTCCCCTCATCCTTTCCCCTTCCTCCCTCCATCCCCCCTCCAGCCCTCTCACATCACCTCGGCTGTTTGAAACCTTCTTCACAGGTTTGGTGTTTGTCAGTGAATAGCAGGCCTGATTATGGTAAGAATATTTTACAGAGCACACTGGCTGCGTGCAATAAAACACAGGAGAAAAGGACTCGGTCCAAATGACAGTAGTAAATGTAGAAGTCATAGTTACAGCAGTAATAATAGGATTTCAATGCTGTATTCTCTTTGTTGGACAGGAGCTGACGTCTGCTTTGTGTCTCTTGTCTCTTGTCGTTAATTCTGTTGAAATGTTTCCATCTTTTCACATCTCAACAAGCAGTAATACCGGTTCTGTCTAACGTCTGTGATCCTCTGGCCGCTATCTCTGGTGTGGAAACAGAAATGTAAAAAGTAAACATTGTGGTGTAAGCAGCAGTTAGCACTGAAGCTATTTCTTAACCAACTAGGAGCAGAGACTGAACATCTGAACTTCAGGGGGGTTGTTGGTTTGAGCTCGGCACTAAATCTACTGTCAGCTAAACCAGCTGACCACAGGACGGACGGAATACACACACACGTTTACTGTTTTATGTACTTTATTTTAATATATTTATTTACACACTCAAACACATGTTTACTGTTTTATTTACTTTATTTTGAATATATTTATTTATTTACACACACAAACAAACACAAGTTTACTGTTTTATTTACTTTATTTTAATATATTTATTTATTTACACAAACAAACACACGTTTACTGTTTTATTTACTTTATTTTGAATATATTTATTTATTTATTTACACACACAAACAAACACAAGTTTACTGTTTTATTTACTTATTTTTTATATATTTATTTATTTACACAAACAAACACACATTTACTGTTTTATTTATTTTTAATATATTATTTACTTATTTTAAACGCACAAGTTTACTGTTTTGTTTATTTTATTTTTAATATATTTATTTATTTATTTACACACACAAACACACGTTTACTGTTTTATTTACTTTATTTTTGAATATATTTATTTATTTACACACACAAACAAACACAAGTTTACTGTTTTATTTACTTTATTTTTAATATATTTATTTATTTACACAAACAAACACACGTTTACTGTTTTATTTACTTTATTTTTAATATATTTATTTATTTATTTACACACACAAACAAACACAAGTTTACTGTTTTATTTACTTAATTTTTTTATATTTATTTATTTACACAAACAAACACACATTTACTGTTTTATTTATTTTTAATATATTTATCTACTTATTTTAAACGCACACGTTTACTGTTTTGTTTATTTTATTTTTAATATATTTATTTATTTACACACACAAACACACGTTTACTGTTTTATTTACTTAATTTTTAATATATTTATTTATTTATACACAGACGTTTACTGTTTTATTTATTTTATTTTTAATATATTTATTTATTTATTTACACACACAAACAAACACATGTTTACTGTTTTATTTACTTTATTTTTAACATATTATTTATTTATTTACACACACAAACAAACACATGTTTACTGTTTTATTTACTATATTTTAATATATTTATTTATTTATACACAGACGTTTACTGTTTTATTTATTTTATTTTTAATATATTTATTTATTTATTTACACACACAAACAAACACATGTTTACTGTTTTATTTACTTTATTTTTAATATATTTATTTATTTATTTATACACAGACGTTTACTGTTTTATTTATTTTATTTTTAATATATTATTTATTTATTTACACACACAAACAAACACATGTTTACATTTTTATTTACTTTATTTTTAATATATTTATTTATTTATTCTAACACACTTTTCTTTCTTTCTTTTTTTCTTTTTTCCTTTACATTGATGCCAATAAAGCTAGATTGATTTGAATTGAGTAGCTTGTTAGCTAACATGGAACAACATGTGAATCAGAGTCGGAGCTGGTTGAAGGTGGATGTTTTCTCTTTTGATGGAGCTAAGCTAACAGCTCCCCCTGCTAACAGTCTTTGTGCTAAGCTAAACTGATTGTTTCATCTGAGTCTGGATAAGATGGCAGACCAACAGGAGCCAGGTGAACATATGGAGTCCTAAAGCAGCACGTGTAACTGATATCTACAGTAAACCCTTCACACCTCACACTGTAACCAACAGAACCGTGGAGACAACAAGCCTCTCATTTGGCAGCTGAGCTGTCGGAAAAACACCTCACATAATCGCCCAGCTGGATCTGGTTTCAGCCGCTGCCATCCGATCCTCCTGCCCGGGAAACCTACTCCTGATGGAGACGACACTCTCTGGACATGGGTCAGACGGGATGAGCGCTCCTGGTCCAAAACCCGGTCCACGCAGGAACCAGGACTCCACTGCTGTTTCTTCAAACTGCAAATCCTCTGGAATAAACCTGACCCCAAAGCCTTCAGATGTTCTCTGGGCTGCAAACGCCAACAGACTGAGGGTGATCACTGACAACAAACTGGATTTCTGCACCTTATTGCTGGTAACATAACATTTGACGTGAAACCACATTCATTCATCGTCTGCAGACAGACGCAGAGCGATCATCTCTGGAAGCTCAGTAGGAGTCAGTTCAAAGAAAAACTACTTTTTGTAAGTTTCTATATCAGCGTCATACCAAACATTTGGCAACATGGGATTCCATGACACATTTCAGGGACACAAACAAAAACACAAGTTATTTTACACACTACAAAGGTGCAAAGGTCTCAAGTCGGTGTAAAAAATCCTGTAAAGTGGGAATGCTTTCAAAAATAGACATGTTAACACGTTATATTGATGAATTACCAGAATGCAAAGTGAGTGAACAGAAGGTGAGCACACTTTGTCTTTAAACGGAGTTCTGTAAACTGAGGTTCAGGAACAGGAACAAGCCTCTCTCACTTATTCAACCACCTGCGCTTCCCTCATTTCAGCCACCTGTGCCTCTCTAATCCAGTCACATGCACTCATGTATATCAGCTCTCTAACCTGTTTTCTCAGTTCTCACATCTCTCCCACCTGAACCCTGCTTGTTCACCTCTTTTAATGGGCAGCACTGCGGCCTCACAGCAGCAAGGTCCTGGGTTCAGACCTCGCTCAGCCCGGGCCTTTCTCTAAAGAGTTTGCATGTTCTCCCCGTGTTTGCGTGGGTTTCCCCCGAAAGAAAGACATAATTCTGCCAAGTAATGATTTTGTCTTTTTCTACAACAGGAACCACAGGGAGGTTCATAAGGCCAAGCTGTCCAGCTGCCGTGTTGACTCACTGAGAGCTGGTTCCAGTCCGCACAGAGTCTGCATGACGGGGTTTGCACGGTAAAGAATCTTGTAATAAAAATCTATAAAATATTTTTATTTTAATAAAATATAAAAACTCTGTCAGCAGCATTGTGTTTCTGCTTTGCATGACTTATGAGACCCAATCAGGAGCCAAACAGACAGGACTCTCCAGGCGAGCTGCCAAGACGTTCAGGGCTTCTAACGATTATGAAAACATGATAATTAATTAAATCATCCCCTTTTCCTTTACAGCGGTGGCTCCGCCCCTTCCTCAGCCAGGCTGCAGCACGTTGAGTTCAAGCCAAGATGACGGAGGTCCTGACTGCTCTAACCTGTTTGTCACCAATATTAGCTTAAGCCTACATCATTTGAACCCCCCCAGCCAGTGACCCTGTGCAAACACTGTCCTCCTCTTGCACTCTAAGATGTTTAAAGCTGGATTAGTAACTCTTACTTCATGGGATTTGGGGTCATGCACATATTATCTTTTTAATGAAGCATTACGTTCTAAAAGTGCCGGAGTGGTGAAGCAGCTCCACCACAGTTCTTCAAGAGTTCAAGAGTTTCTTTCACTGTCATTCAGTGAAACACAGGAATATGTACAGCATGAATGAAATTAGGAGCATGGCTCCTTTAAAAACACAGATGGAAAACAGGGTAATAAAAGAGAGCTCCAAAACATGCACTGAATATATAAATACCAGATAAATAGTTTCCATCAGCTGTACACACGACTATTTGTGATGTATTGCCCTTAAATAAATACATCACCAATACTGTACTTAAAAATGATAATAAAGCACAGATTAGTTACACTTCATTTCCTGCATCCTGGAGAAAGTTTCTGCACCAATTTACGGTGGAAATGTTATATTTATGTAAAAGGAAAAACAGAATTGAGGTGACATTTCAAAATCTGTAAATCTAACAGAATGTAAGTGAGTGCAGCTCTCAGTCATTCTGTGCTGCTTTCAGATCTGTTTCAGAACTTTTCTCCTGTAACATCGTCCCTGCTGAGGCAACACGCCTGCAGCCATGATTTAGTCTTCCCTCCTCTTTGGT